TTAGGGTGGTCGTCTTCACTATCTGCAGTGGGCCGCTTTTCCAGGCTTCCCAGTCAAAAGCAATGCACGTCTGTCTCTGTTGGACGCACAGAGACTTTTCTCCCTCATTTCCACGTGAGAGGAAGGCCGGCCCTGGGTGAAATGGGAACACGGCGGGGTGGGGTGCGGTTAATCTATGTCACCCTCTCATATCCTCTTACCCCCCCCTTATCCGCTTTCAGTTCCTCCTTTCCCAGCAGGTGTCAGGCGGCACATGCTTCCCCTTGCTCTCTGGCAGAGGGGAAGTGATGGGAACCTACTTCTTTATGCGTGTGTACACGGTGAAGTGTGCACACTCTTGAGGCTCCCTGGACTGCTGCTTTATTACCGTCTCTTGGCAATTGTGTGACTGCCTTTACCATTTCTTTCTTCCTTCCTTCCTTTTTTTTTTTTTTGCAGTGGGGGGATGCTATTTTTTTTATTTACTGTACATTTTTTTCACATCATACATTTTCATCTTGTTTTTCTCCTCCCTCAACTCCTCCCACATCCTCCAAACTTCCCTACCCACCCAACCTCGTGTTCTCTCTCTTCCCCTATCCAAACAAAGAACCAATGAGACAAAAGAAAAAAAAAAGCCCAAACAAAACAAAGTGAAACAAAAAGCCCACCGCAAACAAGGAGCTCATTTTGTGTCAGTCAGCTCTTCCTGGTCATAAGCTGACCTGGAGTGCAGTTGATAACAAGATGCCCCACTGAAGAAAACTGATTTTTCCCTTGGCCCACAGCTATCGAAATAGCTTCTTGGTTACTGGGGGGGGGGGCATGTCCACGTCCTCTTCTCCTCTTCGTGGTATGAGGACCCCCTCTGGTTTGAACATTTCCATCGACATTGCAAAGAAGCCCTGACAGAAACGATTCTGAATCACACAGCTTGCAAATACAAAGGAAGGGTTCGAAGCTTGCCCTTGAACTTTTGCTAACTGTAAAGTTAGGAATGAATCATTTCCTACTGAAGAGTCCCAAGCTCAAAGGTTTTCAACCTGTGGGCCGTGACCCCTTCGGGGTCCCATATCAGATATCCTGCATATCAGACATTTACATTACAATTCATAAGGGTAGCAAAATTACAGTTATGAAGTAACAATGAAAATAGTTGGGATTCACCACAACACAAAGAACTGTACTAAAGGGTCACAGCCTTAGGAAGGTTGAGAACCACTGGGTTAGCTTACTGTAGAGCGATCAGGGTCTTCCCAGTGATATGTCAGCAAATCTGCCACGTGGGCAGCTGGGTCATTTAGGGTGCAGGAGACAGTGTCTTCAAACAAGCCTTACATTGATACTGTGTTTATTCTTACATAAATATGGATGAATGTCTTAGAATTCAGTATGTTAAATAAGTTCTGATCATCATTTTTTTTTGAGGGGGGGAAGCTTAATTTTCCCAATAAAATTATTCAATAGTATTACTTAAATTCAATTGAGACTTTTATAGTTTTTTGGTAGCAAGAATTATTTTGGTGCTAACAAAGTTGTCAGTTCTTAAAGGCCTAAATAAAACTGTTTTTATATTTATTTATTTATTTATTTATTTATTTATTTTTGGTTTGTCAAGACAGGGTTTCTCTGTAGCTTTGGTGCCTATCCTGGAACTAATTCTGTATACAAGGCTGGCCTTGAACTCACAGAGATCCAACTGCCTCTGCCTACCAAGTGCTGGGATTACATGCGCCACCTACCACCTGTCCTTAAAAAAATTTTTGCACATTTGATTTTTTATTCTGCTTATTACATTAAGCATCCTTGATGATATATTGTTTGACTTATTATAATTAATCCATCTCTGTCAGTTCCAGTTGTGTGTGTGTGTGTGTGTGTGAGAGAGAGAGAGAGAGAGAGAGAGAGTGCTAAGCTTTTCAATATCACTTTCTTTAAACTTATAAAATTCTAGTCTTTGTATCATTTGCCATTCTTCTGCCAACCTGTAGTATTGCATCTGTATTTCTTGCTCCAATTCCTATGATTTATGTACTATTGATCAAGCCTTTTATGCTGAGATGGATGAAGGTACAAGGTCATATTAAGTGCAGTGGAAGAAGTGTTAACTAGAGTTGCAAGATTTCACTGGGTTCCTTTGTGAAAATTCTCATATTATGTGGCCTTAGGCTTCCCTGTGCCAAGATGGAATGGTCAGCCATGTGCTATGGGTTTGATTGTGAGTATCTCCCAAAGGTACAAAGTACCATACTGGGCAGTGCTGGGACCTTAAGGAGGGGGGGGGGAGTTAGGAGGTTAGTTCATGGGAGGCATGAACTGTTGAAGGTCATATTTATACCCTCTTCTCTCCTTTTCTCCCTCCCTTCTTCTCTTTCTCTTCCTCTTCTTCTCCTTTCCCCCCTTCTTCTTAGCCACTCAGTCATGGACTGAATGTCTATACCATAAGGTCATACCGTGGTCTGCTAGACCATACAGGCCCAAAGTTACAGGCTAAACAACCATGGGCTTTGACTGACACTTGAGTCAAAATACGCCTTTCTTCTTTTAACCTTGTTGCTTCAGGAATTCTATCACGGTGGCATAAGCTGACTTCCACGGATGATACAATGTTTGTCCCCTTGACACCTTCCTGGACTCAGGATTACTGAGGTGCATGTTAAGAAGTGTCTCAGCTCTGCTTCAACCAATGATTATAACAAGTTTTCGGCTCCTGCAGCTTCGGGGAGGTGACTTGATCAGCTGAGTTCTCTTCCAACCGTTTTGGTACGCATGAATATAATTTGTACGCCCTGAAATAATTCAAGTACCCCTGGCAGATGAGATCCGAAATCCAGAGATCTCCCTGACAGTGTGGCGTCATCCCTATGTGGTACCATCAGCAGGTCTCAAAGGGAGCAGAGTTCTGGTTCAAAGTGAGCAAACCAGACCCCCAAACCAGTTGATGGGTGTAGTCGACCGGTAAGCTAAAATTAACCAGACCAGCTCAATACAACAAATATAATTTAATAATTGGAAACGGGGAAAACTCACACGACCGGGGTAAAAGTTCCGACGTCCAAAACACCGCGAGAAGAGAGAGACCGCACCTGAATTCCCAGGTTTTTCTCCCCTGGCCCCAGGCGGCCACACCCTAGCCAAATGTGATTGGCTGAGCTTCCCCGTCAACCAATGACAACTTAGATTTCAGACTATCGTTATGCTTGCTATGCTAGGCTTGTGAGGTCGCAGCTGATTTCACTACCAACGCCCCCAACCTCATTTGTTGTTGTATATGAATATATTCTAATGAGTTAGAGACGACTCCCTGGTAAGCATCTTAGGTGTCACAGGCCACCAGAGAAGGACAAGTGTCTCGCCATCCTCTTCATCTGCGTTGCCATCCAGAGCTGTATTTTTGAATGGTATGGATTTTCAGAGTATAAAAGCATCAAGGTAGCATTTGCAAAGACAGGCGATGCTCCTTCCTGTTTGCATCTTGAAATAAGATTCTTTTGCCTTCCTTTTGTTGATCGCCATGGGGATTTCAGGTAATTTTCTGTTTTCCTTCTCATCGATCAAAGCTTCTTAAGAATAAAATTTTCATCTTATTTTGTCTTCTGTCCCCAGGGTCTGATAACGGGACACCACCACTATGTTTATTTTCCTTTAGTTCAGGAAGAAACGAAGGACGCAGCTAGAAGGAAGGAAACCATTAGTGGTTGTGGTAGAAATGAACTGGGTTGTACTGCCTTTGTCCAGACAGGAAATAAAGCAGGTTTAACCAGACACAGTAAGGTTCCCTAAGGTGTATTGGGAAGAGGCAGAGGCCGAAGGACAATGACTAGCCCACTGGGAAAACAAATAAAGAAACTGGGCTGTGCCGGCTGCAGCACCCGTGTATATGGGACAGGTGGGTGCTTCGTGTTAGCGGCAAGGCTGGGGGCCTCCTGTCTAGTCCCTGGCTGTCTGGTCATCCTGTGCCCCTTCAATAGCTCTAATGAGGCTTTCTGAGCACCACGAATAGATGGAATGTCCTCTTCATTTCTTTGGTTTGTTCTCTCTCTCTCTTTTTTTCTTCTTCTTCTTCAGGATTTCGTGTATCCGAGGTTCACCTGCTCCAAACGTGTCATGAGAACCACACATCGAGCAACTCACTAATTCAGAGCTCAGCATCCTTCCTTTTTTCTTCTCCATGTAGTTGGAGTTGTGGGGGACGGGGTGGGTGATGTTTGGGGGCTAGATTCATTTGGTCTTTCATGCTGCACAATGCTCATTTCAGGAGCTCTGGACTGTTTGAGGAGGTGGGAGCCTTTGCCTTACTCCTGGTCCTTGTTTAAACTGTAAGCCCCCCCCCGGCCAGAAGACGTGCTAAACCATCTCCCCGGTTTACACTGCCTCAGGAAACAGAAAGAAACCACTTCAGATCTCAGGGAAGCCAAACCTGATTAGGAAATGAGATGGGGAACATGAAGGAGATGGAAGGAGGAAGTTCCTGCCAGACCCAACACTGCCTAATAGTCTACCAGTTGCCTCCCGGTTGCTTTATTCATGTCCTCTACGGAAGTGGGAATTTTCTATATTTAATGCTTCTCTCATCAGTATGCAGAGAGCTCGCAGCACCGACTTCAAACCCCAGCACGTTGACAAAGCAGCTGGAAGGAGCTGGGCCTCAGCTTCCATCTCTCAGTGTTTCTGCTTCTCTGGAGCAGGGAAACATGGAGGCTTTCCTTTGTTTTCTGGTGTCGTCCGTTTACCTTGCCTTCCTTCCTTCCTCTCTGACACAACGCGAGTGACTGAAACCTTCCCTCCTTCACCACGTCACTGATTTAATATCAAGATTAAGAAAAGCCTTTCCCCCCCTTTGAGATTTGGGACTAATTATTGGTTTGTTTTCATTTTATTTTGGTTTATTTATTTATTTTTGAGACAGGGTTTCTCTTTGTGTAGCTCTGGCTGTCCTGGAACTAGCTCTTGTAGACCAGGCTGGCCTCAAACTCACAGAGATCTGCCCGCCTCAGCCTCCCAAGTGCTGCGATAAAAGGCGTGTGCCACCACTATCCCTTTTTTAATATTTATTTATTTATTATGTATACAATATTCTGTCTGTGTGTATGTCTGCAGGCCAGAAGAGGGCACCAGACCCCATTACAGATGGTTGTGAGCCACCATGTGGTTGCTGGGAATTGAACTCAGGACCTTTGGAAGAACAGGCAATGCTCTTAACCTCTGAGCCATCTCTCCAGCCTCACAAAATCAATTCGTAAGTGTTTAGATTATAACCAGAATATCTCTGCCTCACCTCACCAGTGTTCCTTGTTTGAGTTAATGTCATGAGAAATTGGAGAATATTGCCAAATAAAACTTTCGCTAGTGAAAAAATGTTTATTTCAGGTGACATGAAAAGCCCACTTCATGTCACCAAACGTTGTCATCAGAGGTAACAGTGATGCAGGAGGAGGTGAGCTTTGCTATTTTACCCTTTTTTTCCTCGAGGACACCTCTACATCCAACGGTCTAGCTTCTGAGGTGTCTGTTTCTATTTTTTCTGGGTAGCTCTCCACTTAGCCACACAAAGACACCCTTGCTGCTAGGAACCCAGCTCTGGTCTGATGTCTGGTCTTGAGTGAGGATGTCTGTGTCCTTGCCCATGTCCTGTGTGATCTGACTGGGGAGAAGACAGAGTAGGTAGTACTGTTGGGAGCTGGAGGAGCTGGCCCATTGATCTAAGTTCAAAACTAAATGTCAAAGATATAAAACAAACAGAACTGTGAGTATTTTATTAATATTAAATGCAGACCACTGTGTCCAGTATTGAGAACATTGAACTAGCAATCTCCTTTATGTCATTTGGTTCACCAAAGATTCGGTAAGCAGTGGATATTCATGGTGAAGTTTGTTTTTCAAACTTTGGGGTGAGGGTTGGAGCTCAGTAGAGTGCTCATCTACTATGTATGAGGCCTTGGATTTGATCCCCAGACTCACAAAACAGCAAAGCAAACCAAAACAAAATAGCAGAGGTGGCTCAGAAAATCCTTTTCTTTATACATGGATCAAAATGTAGATGTAGAATTTTATTATTATTATTATTATAGAATTAAGTAAAGAATGGATTAAGAAGTCTGATCAGGACACAAACCAAAAAGGCACAGAGTGGGAAAGGGCTTGTAGGATGGAGATGTTGACAGGTTTGGGGGGGTGGGATAAGAGAGAGTGTGTAGCAGAATTTCTCTTTGGGATTGCCAGCTCCCAAATAATGAAACAGAGTCTTTTTTATTAATTATGAGTGCTTGGCCTTAGCATAGGCTTGTTCACAGCTAACACATCTAACTTAAATTAACCCTTTCATATTAGTCTACATTCTGCCACGTGGTTCATTATCTCTCCTCCAGAATGTCTGTCTACCTCCCTCCGCATCTTGCTGGTAAAACCCCGCCTCTATTCTTCCCAGAGTTCCTATCTACGACCAGCAGTCCCGCCTGTCCTCTCCTGCCCAGCTATTGGCCATTCAAGCTCTGTATTAAACCAATCAGGTGCTTTAAGCAAGTGAGGTAAAAGAGAGATATGCCTTTACACAGCTTGTTCAAATATCCCCGAACAAGTGTGTCTAAGAGTAGACTTTTTATATATCGCATTATAGACATGACCACAATTGCCAAAGCACAAATTCAGTCAAAGTTACATTTAAAAAAATGCTAACAAATAGCCCAAGATATCTAAGACGAAAGTGAGATGTTGGACATGGCTCAAACCCCCTCATTCTTTGCTAACGATCTTTCCGGCACAAATACCCATCAATGATTGTGTGAATGAATGCCCACAGTGCCCACAAATCCAGGTTACATGGAGCTCACGTCTTTGCTGGGTTCTGTGCCACAGTGAGAAAGCACAGGACCCACCACCAGATTCTAAGAATAAGGGCAATTTAGATGGGAAGGCTGAACATACAAGGATAAGATAATTTAGTAAGGAATACAAATTCACGGTGTGAGAGTCACAGAGTCCTCCCAAGGGGCCATTACAGGGAATGACAGAAATGATTACAACTTTAGGGGATACTGGAGATCACTTCTCCCAAATCAAGTAAGCCTGAATAAATTACCGTCTTCCGTGGGAAAATCGTCAGAGCTGATTTGTCCACCAGTGTAAGGATAATAGAGAATAAATTACGCTGACACTGTTTGTACAGGGCCACAGCAATTACTAAAAAACCAGGAAAACAAACCACTCATTTTATACCTATTTCACCCACGCTTTTTTTCTCTGTTACGAAGTTTCAGCTTATCAGCATTAGAAATTTTGTACGATGTTTATTTTTAAAAAACACAGATACGCTCTCCTGTTCAAACGAAATCTTCAAAATGGGATAAATTAGAGGCTGCTAATTTATGTATTAGTCCAACAAATATCAGCTTCGGGCTAGGGGTATGCTATTTCACTTGATATCCGGTAAAAATATAAGTCAGAGCCGGGCGGTGGTAGTGCACGCCTTTAATCCCAGCACTCGGGAGGCAGAGGCAGGCGGATCTCTGTGAGTTCGAGGCCAGCCTGGTCTACAAGAGCTAGTTCCAGGACAGGAACCAAAAGCTACGGAGAAACCCTGTCTCGAAAAATCAAAAAAAAAAAAATATGAGTCAGCTATGAAGGCAAAGAGAACACAGTAATACACTGGGCTATGTGACTGAAAATGTTTCTTCTGGTCACAGCTGTCTGTTAGGAATATAGATACAGCTACCCATTTAGGAACTCATACCCACACAGACACCTTGGAGAAAATGCAAATGGGTTCATATATCCAGGCAATTCAATTCCCCTAATGGGTGTTTTGGAGAGAGAGAGAGAGAGAGAGAGAGAGAGAGAGAGAGAGAGGAAGAAGGAGGAGGAGGAGGAGGAGGAGGAGGAGGAGGAGGAGGAGGAGGCTAAGTCATAGAGATACTTTTTTCATAAAAGTGAAAAAAAACTCAGTGGAAGTTGATTTGTGGATTTGAGAGAGAAGTAGACATTACATTTTTATTTGTTTATATTTAGCAAATGTATGCAGTCTATTGACCTTTATATAACACTATTTCCCAACACTTGATTTTCCTCTTAATTTGTAATGGGAAGATAGCAGACACAAGCAGATTACAGCAACAAGCCAAGTGACCGGAGAGGCTTAAAAGATCTGTGGCAACTGTCACTAAGACAAAAAGGCAACCCACTGACTGGGAGAAGATCTTCACCACCCCCGCAACAGACAAAGGTCTGATCTCCAAAATATATAAAGAACTCAAGAAACTAGACGTTAAAATGCTAATTAATCCAATTAAAAAATGGGGCACTGACCTGAACAGAGAATTCTCAACAGATGAAATTCAAATGGCTAAAAGACACTTAAGGATATGCTCAACCTCCTTAGCGATCAGGGAAATGCAAATCAAAACAACTTTGAGATATCATCTTACACCTGTCAGAATGGCTAAAATCAAAAACACCAATGATATCCTTTGCTGGAGAGGTTGTGGAGAAAGGGGTACCCTCATCCATTGCTGGTGGGAATGCAAACTTGTGCAACCACTTTGGAAAGCAGTGTGGCGGTTTCTCAGGAAATTCGGGATCAACCTACCCCTGGACCCAGCAATGCCACTCTTGGGAATATACCCAAGAGAGGCCCGATCATATGACAGGGGCATTTGTTCAACTATGTTCATAGCAGCATTATTTGTAATAGCCAGAACCTGGAAACAACCTAGATGTCCTTCAATGGAAGAATGGATGAAGAAAGTGTGGAATATATACACATTAGAATACTACTCAGCGGTAAAAAACAATGACTTCTCGAATTTTGCATGCAAATGGATGGAAATAGAACACACTATCCTGAGTGAGGTAACCCAGACCCAAAAAGATGAACTTGGGATGTACTCACTCATAATTGGTTTCTAGAGATAAATAAAGGTCAGTGAGTCTATAATTTGATCTCCTAAAGAAGCTAAATAAGAAGGTGATCCCAAAGAAAAACATATAGCTATCCTCCTGATTATGGGAAGTAGACAAGATTGCCGGGCAAAAAATGGGATCTTGGGGGGGGGGGGGAGGGAGGTAAGGGGAGATGGGGAGAGAAAAGTGAGAAGGGGAGGTTGGGGGGAACTTGGGAAACGGGATGTTTGGGATAAAGGAAGGTCGGATAGGGGAGCAGGGAAGCACACATCTTAATTAAGGGAGCCATCTTAGGGTTGGCAAGAGATTTGGTGCTCCCAGGTGCCCAGGGCGATGTCCCCAGTTAGTTCCTGGGGCAGCTGAGGACAGAGAACCTGAAATGACCCTATCCTATAGCCATACTGATTAATATCTTGCATATCACCATAGAACCTTCATCTGGAGATGGATGGAGATAGAGACAGAGACCCACACTGGAGCACTGGACTGAGCTCCCAATGTCCCAAGGAGGAGCAGAAGGAGGGAAAATATGAGCAAAGAAGTCAGGACCACGAGGGGTGCACCCACCCACGGAGACAGTGGGGCTGATCTATTGTGAGCTCACCAAGGCCAGCTGGACTACGACTGAAAAACCATGGGATAAAACCGGACTCTCTGAATATGGCGGACAATGAGGGCTGCTGAGAAGCCAAGGACAATGCCACTGGGTTTTGATCCTACTTCATGTTCTGGCTTTGTGGGAGCCTAGCCAGTTTGGATGTCCACCTTCCTAGACCAAGATGGAGCGGGGAGGACTTTGGACTTTCCACAGGGCAGGGAACCCTGACTGCCCCTCAGACTGGAGAGGGAGGGGGAGAGGAGTGGGGGGGAGGGGGAGAGGAGAGGGAGGAGGGGGGAAAAGGGAGACGGGGAGGAAAATGGGAGGCAGGGAGGAGGCGGAAATCTTTTTTTTTCAATAAAAAAATTATATTTAAAAAAAAAAAAAGATCTGTGGCAAGACTAGGGACGCTGTCTGCTGGACACACCCAGGGCTTCTCAGAGCAGGCCACAGTCCTGCAGACTAGAGACCCTTTCAGAAAGGGCTCTTGGGTGGTGACAGGGAAGCTCGCCCTTGACCTTGGGCTGTGTTTGGACCTTGGGCTGTGTTTGGTAAATAGCTAAAGAATCACTGCTTGAGAAACTTAGTAACAACTTCCATCTCTCTTCCTCTGCAGTCCTACACTGCTTTCAGCTAGGAGAAGAGAGAATCCTAGTGTTAGCCTCAATATCAAAGTCTGTAACTATGCTCCGAGACTAGAAAGCAATTCAGTAAGTTATGGAACCATAATGCCAGCACTGATGGAGCTTAGGTCTCGAATTTCTGTGCTGACCAGGCTCTCTCTCTCTCTCTCTCTCTCTCTCTCTCTCTCTCTCTCTCTCTCTCTTTCTCTCTCTCTCTCCCTCCGTGTGTGTGTGTGTGTGTGTGTGTGTGTGAGAGAGAGAGAGAGAGAGAGAGAGAGAGAGAGAGAGAGAGAGAGAGAGAGGGAGGGAGGGAGGGAGGAAGGGAGGGAGAGAGGAAGAGCTTCTTTTATCTTTTATTCTGGTGCAAATTCATCATAATATATTGAAGGAGTAGATAGAGCTGGGATTTAAAAATGTTTCTTTATGACATTAAACTGTAGATTTATTGGAGAAGCTTCCCAGCCTTCGCAGCAGTGTCAACGACCGATAAGAACGGAAGCAGAACGGATATTGTTTAATCATCACTGCAGTGAAGTAAGTCCAAATCGACCAGCCAAATGGCTCATAGGAGCAGGGTCCGCAAAACCCTAGCCAGAGAGCTACAGATGATTACATTAAGAAATATTAGAGGCCAGGAGACACAAGAAGATATGGGAAACCTCATTTAAAAATTAGGAAGAAACATTGTAGTGGTAAGCATGACACGGGAGATTAGCTAGTTTTAGGATACATAAACGTACATAGCAAAGGAAATGGCATTACTGAGGAAACTTGAAGTTGTATTCTCTCTCTCTCTCTCTCTCTCTCTCTCTCTCTCTCTCTCTCTCTCTCTCTCTCCCTCCACCCCTCTGTTCCAGGATAAAACCTAAAGTGATGTTTGCATATGAACTCCATCTACGTGCAGTGGGAAAATGAGGTGGAACATTGATGAGCAATGTAGGTGAATTTGTGACAGCCATAGGCATCGTCACTGGGTCTTGTCCCACCTGCTCCGTGACACAGAGGGATCGTGACTCACAAGAACGCCTGCACTGTGTGACTGTTCTTAAGAAACCCCCAAACAAGTAAGAGCAGAAGATTGCTTAGGAACGCACATATAACTAAACTAGTAACTCTACAAAGAAGAGCGAGAACATGGCCAAGTCAAGTTAGGACGCTGGAAGGGATGCATAGGAGGCTTCCGGGCTAAAATGTTCTACTTCTTAGCCTGGTTTGGACTATTCATTTAAATAGACATTTTAAAACTCATATGCACTTTTGTGTGTGTGTGCAGTTTACATGGTGTAACAAAAAGAAAAACATAAGCCCGAATTCTGAGACCAACATCCACGATGAGATGCTGAATTAGGCTTAGCAGGCAGTTCAGACTGGCAGCTCAGAGCCCTTCTACATCCATGCTTCTCTTTTCCACGTGACCGGCTGACTAGGATCCAGGATCTGCTTGTTATCATTCAAAATCCCATTTGGTGAAACTAGCCTCATTCCTTCCTGTGCCTACACCGAGGCTCACTGTATCATGGGTTAGCCGCGGAGCGGCGAGGTTTTGCTGTTTGAAGCGAGAACTGCCTGGCCCTTTCTGACTTGCTGGGAACTCTTATTTTCACCGCAGCCACGCTCTCCTCCTAAATGACTAGCACGTTTGCTTTTGTCAGCCTCCTTTCTGCCTCAAGTGGCGCGGGCTGTGTTCCATAGATAGCAGTGAAGAAATGTGCTCAGCGGTACCTTTTCTTTTCTTTCTTTAATCATCTCCAAACACAGGCGCGCGCGCAGAGAAGCATCTGAAAGATGTTTTTGTCTGACTAATTAGGTTAAAAGTCTTCGGGGAGCAGTCCTATTTGCTGTATGCTAATGGAAATCCTTTAGCTTCTGGTTGACACCCTTCTAAGAACAGATTTTTCTTTAGCGCTTCCTGTTGAACTTCAGGGGGGGCATAGAAATAACCCCCCCTTTTTTTTCCTTCATCGTGTGGGAAACTTAAATGTGGGTTGTCGGGAACTCGCATGTAAAGGCTCCAGAGTCTCAGTTTGTTAGTTTCTATTGGTTAGTATGGAACTCTGCGCTGCCCGAAAAAGAAGTTTTATTGGTGATAATGGACTGGTGGCTTTTTGCTTCTGAAATTGTTATCGCAGCATTCCTAAAGGTCTCCTTTAGGTTTTAGTGTACGCAGGTCACACGATGCAACCTGGATGCTTCTTTCTTTATGTGAAATATTTTTCTCTTGCTAGTTTGTGGATGTGCACGGCCGGAGGTGGAGATGGATTGATTACTCATGCTCCCTCTGAGTTGGTGGAAGTCCTCGAATAGAAGGAGCTATTTCCTCTTACCTTCTCCATACCATTTAGACATCTTGTCACCCAGCATTACTGACTTATTTCTGAAATATAAGAATTTGGGAAACTGAGGCAGGAGGATCCTGATCTCCATCAGTCTTGTCTACATCACAAGTCCCTGTCTCAAATACTTAAATTAAAAAAAAATCCATAATTCCAAAGACATGTCTTGTGTTTAATAAATTTTACCTTCCCTTTGACTCTATCTTTTTTAATAAAAGAGATTCTTTAATACACACACACATATACACTTTAAGGGCTGGAGAGATGGGTCAGCAGTTAAGAGCACTGGCTCCACAGGTCCTCAGTTGAATTTCCTGAACCCACAGGGTGGCTCACAACTGCCTACAACTGTAGTTCCATGGGATCCAATGCCCTCTTCTGCTGTGCCAATATACACACAGACACCTATATACATAAATAAATAACATATAAATAAATCTCAAAAATAAATAAATGAATCTTGACACCTATATACATAAATAAATAATAAATAAGTCAATCTCAAAAATAAATAAATTTATCTTTAAAAAATAAAAAAATACTTTAAAACTATCTTGGGTCACTGTGATCAGAGAGAGCTACTGTAAACTATAGGACTGTCTGAATTTCACACTCATTTTGCAACAGACTGTAATTGTCCCCATCAATTAAATTATTATTAAGAATAGGGCATCTAGCTGATTTGAAAATGCGGTGGTAGTAGAATAACATTATGTGGATGAGAAGTGGAGAAAAAAATTGTGTGTAATCATAAGTGGAAAACAGAACAGAGAGATAGAAGGGAATGAAGACATAGTAATTTCATCCCGAGGCTGACTAGGGAGACAGGGGACGTTCTGGAACAGTGAGAGGGGAAGGGGCCCCTCACACAGGAGTCAGGCTGATGCCTCTTGCCAACAGAGAGACGAGGATTCGAGCACAATTAACATCTTGAGATCTTTCTTCCATCCCTTCTATCAACATTCTATTCTCTGGGAATCTTATCAGAAATTCAATTTATAGGAAAAGAACACAGAGTAAACCCATCCAGGCAGCACATATATAGCTGGTACTAAGACAGCTAGCTGCGCCTCTTCCTCGAAAAACCTGTATCTACACTTTGGCTTGTCTGACTGCATCTTAAGAGAAGCCTATATCCATCCATACTCTCAAATCGGATCTTTGAATAAGCATATACTGATAAGTTTTCTGAACTTCCATTTGGTACTTATGATTCCTTTGCCTCCATGAAGGGGCCCTACAACACTATATACATAGGCAGCACTATGTATAGATCCTGTGTCCCGTAATCGAGCATGTGACCCTAATTAGACAAGAGAACTTTGAGAAAAGACCTTCCTTACGAAGACCTAGCTGGCATTCAGCATGCAGACAGTCCCTACTGTTGTTCAGTTTAGGAATGTTCAGGGGATCCCTTTCTAGAATTCACGCTGGAAATACCAGAGACTATTAATACCGCAAACATTTTTATACTCATGACTTGGCACGGGTGTGAGGTGGGACCAGGAACATTTGCAGAGACGGTGCTGTGAAGGCTGACAGTCTGGGACTTGGCAGTGATGTTTCCATCTTGGAGTTGCAGACTGGTCCAGATAACACATTTGCATTTCGTTCTCCGGAGCTCTAGTCTCTTCTAGTAAAAAAAAAAAAAAAAAAAAAAAAAAAGATTTGATATAACACATAATCAATATACCACAAGATGAGCCTTTGAAAAATATACAATTTGGTGCTTTTGGCTTAGTCGTGGAATTGTACAATATTTTCTGTTGTTCAAATGTCAAACTTATTTTGAGGACTCTTTCCTCTTATCTTTCTTCCAGTATTACAATAGCGTAATCTTACATTTTATTTTGAAAAATGTTCATGAATACCCCGAAATTTGCTCTGAGAGAATGCTGGGAAGTGCCTGCCTCACTCTTATACTGGAAAAAGAAGGCCGGAAGCAATCTGATGCCCATCACGTACCATGGTGAATGTCTTCACAGGACTAGCGGAAAACAGAATCCAGGTGTGTTCAGTAGACTTGACCCCATTTCTTATCTTCAGCAGTGAAACACGTGTGCAGGAGAACTAACCAGCTCACTAAAAATGGTTTGATCCTAAGTTAAAACGGCAAGGTTTAAGGCCAGCCATTTGGAGTCTTGACATGATGCTCTTTTTGCCAAAGCTTCTTTTCACTGTGTGTGTGAGAGTGGTTACATTTATAGCCTTTCTATTTCTAAGCCAGGCTATTTTGAAATGAAAGGCCCCTTCCTTCAAGGATCTCTTCTCTTTTCTAACCTGCTACGACTCTTTTGAAACTCCATCCAACTGCCTCGCCTGGGGCCAGCTGAGGGTAGCTGACCTACCTGAGTGGGTCTCAAATGGAAGCCTGCATCAGAGTCAGCTGGAGGAGACCTGGCTACAGCGCAGCTTCCTGGGCCTGCTCCTCCAAGTTTCTGACTCAGAGCATCTAAATGATGTGTGTGTATGTGAGATTCTGTATCTCTAGAGCTGGGGAGACGACTTAGTGCTAACATGGGTGTCATCATAGTCTAATCCCCACAAACCAGGTGTAAAAGTTGGGCCTGATGGTGCATGCCTGTACTCTTAGCACTGGGAAGGTGGAGACAGGCAGATCTCTGGGCTTGCTGGTTGGCCAGTCTAGCTTGATTGACAAGTTTTAGACTCCTGTGAGAGACCTCGTTTCAAAGAACAAGGTGCACAGCTCCTGGAGAATATTTGATGTTGTCTTTCATATGTATGTGCATACGCACCCACCTCCCACCCCCCCAAACACACACACACACACACACACACACACACACACACACACACACACACACGACTGTATTTCTAAGCGGATGCTTCAAGGAGCTACTGCTCATTGGGGGACAGTTTTACACCTCCAAATCTGTGTGAAGCCGGCTTACCAATACCTCGATGAAGACGCTTTCTAATGGCTGTGCTTCTTTGTCCCCACGACTTTAGCCACTGAAAGGTCATCAGTGCAGTCACGCACCCGTCTCGGAACTCAGTTGTCCTGTACAGTCCCCCAGCACTGGCTGCCACGCGGAGAGCAGTGTGGGAATGACAATGTATCTGCACAGATGGCTCGTGAGTCAGCCTGGAAGAAGAGAGGAGCCACTGAGCTTGTCAAGATTAGTACTCATAGCGCTGAAGGCCCAGCCTGTCTGCCTTCTCCTTCAATAAAATAAAGTTAGAAAATGCCAAGGAAAACAAGACAGCTATAAGATTATATGCTATGAGTTTCCACACGTCCCTGGTCTTAAAAAAGAAAATCAGGATTAACGTATTTCTTTCGTAGTCAGGATGCTTAGGCGCAGGTTAGGGAATGTAAGTATAAGATGAACGACAGAAGTCTCAAGTTGCTTAGGGAATTTCAGAGGACTTGTAAGAGCCCTGATCCCATGCAGAACCCTCCGGGGGAAGTGAGAGTTAATGTTCCAGCCTTTTTTTTCTATTGGAAGGCATCATAGGAAGAGATTACATTGGTCACTGAACATGTTAGTCTGCAATATCCACTGTAATTGTTTTGGCCAAATTGTCACTTATTCTGTAGTTTCAAAATGGAAGCTGGTAGGATACCAGATCTTGGCTTTACACAGTCACATAGGGACTTGGATATGGGCCTGTGTTGAAGAAAGATATGATAAAAACTGCCTAGGAAAGTCAAATTTATTAGGATACTGTTGGAGGTATCTGACTTTGCATTCTTGAGAATTCATTCAGATTGTCAACTTGAATATTCTAAAGATAATCTGATGAAAATAACAACCAATGCTTATTCCTTTGTTATTGGTGACTTCCATAGTTGGTTTTCTTGTTGTTTGTTTGTTTGTTCCTTTGTTTGTGTTTTCTCTTTGGGAGCCTGCCACCCAGCTCACAAATAAATACATGGAGATTTATTCTTACTTATGAATGCCTGGACCTTAGCTCGGCTTGTTTCCAGCCAGCTTTTCTAACTTGAATTATCCCATTTCTCTTTAACTACATTTTGTCTCTGAGCTTCTTACCTTTCTTTATTGCATATATCTTTCTTTCCTTCTTCCTCTGTGACTGGCTATGTGGCTGGGTGGCTCGTCCCTGGAGTCCGCTCTCCTCTTCTCATTCCTCGCTCTTCTCTAGAACTCTCCTCCTATTTATTCTCTCTGCCGGCCAGTTCCACTTATTTCCCTCTCCCGCCTCGCTATAGGCCATTCAGCTCTGTATTAGACCAACCAGGTGCTTTAGGCAGGCAAGGTGAAACAGCTTTATGCAGTTAAACAGATGCAACATAAGAGAATGCAACACATCTTTGTGTCATTAAACAAGTATTCCACAGCATAAATAAATGTAGCACATCTAAAGCTAATATTCTACAACAGACCTCAGTGTTCTAACTGAAAGCACTGTGTTTCTGATGTATGGGACAACTTAGTGGAATTTTGAAAATATTCGGTTCTCTATATTATTAATTCTGAGGACTCACTATACTGTTAATTATTTTATAGCATATGTTGGGTTTAAAACACATGGCTTTAGTATCAAATCTGATGAATTATGAAACGTTTGAACTATTTCCTGTCAAAAGAGCTCCAGAACTCTTTGAGTTAAGGAATACTGGGTAGAATCTGGGGCTGACATGTCCTGTGGGGGTTCCTCCTTTTTCTACCCTGCGTCACTCACGGGTGGCTGTGCCACTGTGGAAAACATCTAAATTTTAAAACGTGGGTTCATGCCGGGAAGTGATGGCACACGCTCTTAATTCCAACACTCAGGAGGCAGAGGCAGAGGCAGATGAGTTCGAGGCCAGCCTGGTCTACAAGAGCTAGTTCCAGGACAGCTAAGGTTGTTACACAGAGAAACTCTGTCTCAAAAAAAAAAAGCCCCCCAAAACTGAAAATGAACAAACAAAAACAACAACAAAACAAACAACCCCCCCCCCAAAAAAAAACCAAAATCGTGGATTCACCATGCGTGGTTTGAAGAAAGTGAGAGATTATTTCTCTCTAAGGTGCTTGTCAAGAGCAAACAGCAAGAATGGAATGCTACCCCAGTTCTATTCATTCATTTCCCCGTCTATGTCCTGCTCTCCCCTGGACGGTCAGACACACTCCTCGTTCTGGGTAAAATCTAGGGGTCAAGGGCATCACTTCTGACTCACACGCTTAGTAAGTACTTAGTCAAGCCAGTGTCTCAACTGTCATAGATGAGTGGTCCTCTAGAGGCTGAAAGTCTCAAATCCATTGGAAGCTTGTCGGGAGAAGATACAGGCTTATCGGAGGTTTTGAAGTTAGGATGCACTATTTTCATGTCAGAAATGCTTTGTGGGTGCACCCCACTGTGTTTCCCTCTTGCTGAAAGTGAAGTTCCTGGAAGGCTCAGTGAGGTCGTCCCTTCAATTTATTTCTTGATCTGAGGAAAGGAGGACAGGGACTTGGTTCTGAAAGAGATGTCAGCTGTCATCTAGTTCAGCTGTCATTTAGTTCATGTCTAAAATGCTTGTCTCTCCCAGAAGCCCAGTTTTGCTCATGGAAAGAGATTGTACAGTCTTGGAAGTAGTAGGGAAAATTGGTGATAGAATCCAGAGTGTCTTGGAAAAAAAATTTTTTTTTGGATTTTTCGAGACAAGGTTTCTCCGTAGCTTTGGTTCCTGTCCTGGAACTAGCTCTTGTAGACCAGGCTGGCCTCGAACTCACAGAGATCCGCCTGCCTCTGCCTCCCAAGTGCTGGGATTAAAAGCGTGTGCCACCACCGCCCAGCTTGTCTTGGAAATTTTATTTTCTTAATATTACTCCTAGGTAAATTGTTCAGGGCTTGGCCATGCCATGGTCTGAGAAGAGATATTGGTGTTTATCAAAAAATGATAGTGGTCAATGAATTCTTAGAGTGCTGTTGTGTTAACTGAACTGGAATATTGATGTATAGAGACCTCTTTCACTTATTGGAGCAGGGAAGTCTCAATAAGACATAGTTCACACTGCACACACATTTGGATGCTCATACAAGTTAATGAAAAGTGTATTTTAGTTGAACTCAGATGGCTTGACCTAATTTTGGTTAGCTACCACCTATATGATTCTTAGAAAAAATAAATTGACTTCTTTGGGTCTAGAGTTGTTTTTAAAACAGGAAATTTATCTAGATGCTAAATGTCTCGATATTGGTATAATCAATACCAATCATGTAGGCTCCAATCAATCAAGACCAATGCCAGTCTTGAAGATTTTAACCAGAGAAACTGCAATATCTTAAAAGAACAGCTCTGTAATTTGTTTCTATGAGTGCACTGTGCACAGAAATTTGGGTGCACCGCCATAGTTTTCCCTTTGCAGGAGGCTTCCTGCCGCTGGTTACACAGAAGTTTTTGGAACTCGCGTTTCAAATAAATATCAGAAAAAGTAACTAATCTCTAGAACAAAGAACAAGTGATGTCAGTTTAGAAAACTTCCCAGGCTTGTCTGTAAAGTAAATTGTAAAATAAGGCAGAGACTGGCTTCCAGAATGGCAAGCAGTCCATTTCGCCACAACGGAGGCCATTTCTGGAGCTGTTTTCAAAAGCTCGTCACTTGACATTGCATTTCCAAAGTCTCCAGCATTGAAGAGAGGACGACTGTGTGTCTGAAGGTGAGCTTGAATGCTATCTCTAGTGAGGTCTAGAGATAAAGGCTCCAATGAGAGCAGAATCCATTTAGGATGAATTGGGCAGAATAATTCTTAATTATGGCATTGAAATTCCCCCTTTGCTTATAGGAAGGAGATAAGGTGAAACACTCCAGCTAATGGAACACAAGCCACTAATTTCCCAAGAAAGACAGAGGGAGGGGAGTGGACTGCTCTCGCATGAAATGAGTAGTTTTATTTCAATCTTTGTGTTGCCAAGGAGAGACTGTGCCGAGAGGGGGAAGGATAGGAGAGGCAACCTAAGATCAAAACAAACAATGGACGCTCAAACAGTGACTCTTATCACTACCACTGGTGAGTTCACCGGCCTGGCTTTTAACAATCTTCCTGACCAATGACATTGGTTCCTTGACGGTAGATGAGTCTAATTTCTTCCTCTCCCACCATGCATTTAAATCATGTGTAAATCATACTCCTTCTGTGGCATTCTTTAATGTTTACTGGAAAGGCAATGTCTTTTTCCAGTGGATGAATGTGGACTTACCTTATTTACCTGACAGTGTGGACAGGGGCGTGGGTTGCTTTCGGACTGACCAGTCTTCTGAGACGTAAAAGCATCACAGCTCAGATGGTCTCTTTGGAAGTCTTCTCAACTCCTTTCTGAGCTCTCACCAGGCTTGCGCTTCCATACCATGGGACTGTGGAACCCTTTCTACTAAAGCAGTGGTTCCCACCTTGTGGGTCGTGACCTCTGTGGGGGCTGAATGACCTTGGCGCAGGGGTTGCATAAGACCATTGGAAAACACAGTTATTTACATTATGATTCATAACAGTAGCGAAATTACAGTTATGAAGTAGCAATGAAATAATTTTATGGCTGGGGGTCATCACAACACGAGGAACTGTATTAAAGGGTTGCAAAATTAGAAAGGCAGAGAGCCGCTGTATTAGAAGAAGGAAAAGGAGATGGTATACTACGATGACTTTTGAAAACTATTATCTTTCTTCAAAAGACAATTCTGTTCTTTGGAGGGCAGATGATTTTTCCGAGGATTTGTTTTTTTGGGCTAGATGAAAGACACAGGAGAAAGAACCACAGTGTCTTAAGTTTAAGGCCAGTTAGCCTTGTCCGCATTCACTGAACCTATCACTTCCCAACATCCTTGACAATTCTGACTCTCTCCCTTCCTGTCTGTTACCTCCCTTTCTCTTCTATACCTGGCCTTTTCTTTTGGGGCCACCAACCAGCTCCCAAATCATGACACAGAGACTTATTATAAGTTTTTAATGCTCTCCCTTAGCATAGGCTCTTTTCTTGCTAGCTCTTCTAATTTAACCTGCTTCTCTTCATCTGTATTTTGCACCGGAACTTTTACCTTTCTTTCCTTCTGTATATCTTCCTTTCTCTGCGTCTTCTGTCTAGTTGGCAACTGCCTGGCTTCTGGCCCTAGGTGAGTTCTTCTCTTTCTCCCTTGTTCTCTCTTCCCATTCTTCTCTCCCTCTTCTTTCCCCCTCCTATTTATTCTCTCTGCCCTCCGGTCCCATCTATCCCTCTCCCGCCTAGTTATTGGCTGTTCAGCTTTTCATTAGGCCAATCAGGTGCCTCTGGCAGGCAAGGTGAAACAACAACACCTCTTTACATAGTTAAACAAATGCAGCATAAACAAAAGTAACGCTCCTTTACATAATTAAATGAATAAATGCAGCATAAACAAATGTAGCACACCTTTACATAGTATTAAAGCAATATTCTGCAGCATAAACAAATGTAGCAACCTTTACACAGTATTAAAGCAATATTCTGCAGCATAAACAAATGTAGCACACCTTTGCCTAGTTATAGTCATATTCCACAATACCCTTCCTTTCCTGTCTTCCTTCCATTTTATCCAAGATTCCTCCTTTTTCTTCATCATGCTACTAAGAAAAACTACTTAATTATTTTGTGGCCTTGCATTTACATTTTAAGTTGGCCTCAGGGAACTGTATGCATATGGGCCTAGCTTAGCTGTCTATAATGCCTTGCCTCCTCCAGGTGTCTCTTATAACTCAGCTTGTAGGATGGGGAGATAATTTTAGTTCAGCGGTTCTCAACCTGTGGTTTGTCAAACAATCCTTTCACTGTGGTTGCATATCACATATTTATACTGTGATTCATAACAGTAGCAAAATTACAGTTATGAGGTAGCAGTCAAAATAATTTTATAGTTGGGGGTCAGCATAATATGAGGAACTGTGTTAAAGGATTACAGCATTAGGAAGGTTGAGAATGCTTGTCTTGGATCCTGGACTGTAAAAACCAGGGAATACTATGAGTGTCCGAGAACTCAATTGTTTATTAAGGACTGTCAAGTCTTTGCACTGTCAACTATTTAACCTGCAAGGCCTAATAGCCACAGGGGCAAACTGTTTTGCTCGGTTTTCTCTGCTTGCTTTCTCTAGGGCAACACGTGGGTCACTTAGTTGCTGGTACGTTTTCACAACGGAAAATGAGGCTCCGAGAGTCAATCTGATGACACTCGAGCTGAACCGGCTTCTAAACAAACTGCCATGATGCAAACGGTTCCATTCTGCCACCCCCAGCACCCAGTGCCCATGGACTGCTAATTCTGAAGCCAGGAACCAAAATATTTCTTCCCTTAAGTTGTTCTTAAGATATAGGGTGCCAGTGATGATGAAAGCAACATATGCCAGAGTTTTTGTTAGAAGAAGGGGAACATAAGTGTGACGTGTAATATTGCATGGTGCATATGTACACATGGCATGTACTGTAAGTGTTTTGGAGGTGAATATATGCATCTTGTATATGTACATATCTTTATTGTGTGCTATGTGAATTTATCTGAGTTATGTTACATGTCCACAGAGGTATGTTACATGTGGTTTATAGGTGAATTTGTATATATATATATCCATAGTGCATTTTTGTGTAGTGCTTAATGCTTGTGGGTATGGTGTGACTGTGGAATATGCACTAATAAGGGATGTGAAGTTGTATCTGTGTACACTGTGTATACATTTTGTGTCCTATGTAAATATTATATATGTACCCATATTTTCATTTAGGAGTATACTTGGGGTAATATGATTATGTATGTTGAGCAAATTTGTGTGTCATGTGTATACGTGTGTATGTTGTTTGGTATGTGTTTGAAGTACTATATAATCTGTGTATGCTGTGTTTGGTATACAAGGTGTACACAATGTGTGTATGGTACATATTTTTTTATATAAAGTACATATATTTGTATGCATTTGTATATGATAGATGAATGCACAGGTGTTGTCTCATGTTGCTGTATCCTGTGTGTTTGATGTTTTGTGTGCACGCGCTGTGAATGTTGTTTATTGGGAGCCTATGAAATGGAATGTGTCCTTTGCAGCTCGGTGAGCACATGGCCGCGATTCAGACAGAATGGGGTTGTGTGGCATAGCTTCAATGGGCATTTAACCATTAGATTCACTGAGGGGCTAGTCAAAACTGTTATTTTAATTAGGGCTGTCTTAGAAATAAGCTAAACACAATAGCATCCCAGAAATAGCTGTGCTCCTTTGTTCCATTCCTCCAGGTCATGATGAATGGCAGACAGACGTTCCCAGCCAGTTCTGGTTCTGAAAGGTCCTCTTCACTCCGCTTACCCTCCAGGGAGCTGAAAATGGAAGATGAGAAGGTTATAAGGGTTCAGAAGGCTGCGTTACTGTTTGACGTGTGCACGTATTTCTTTCTGATTTGTAGTCATCGTTGCATTTGTGCTGGCAACAGCACTTCCTCAGGGTACACTAATGTTTTTGATTGTCATGTTTGGCACAAATTGGGTCTTAAGGACTGATTATTGAGACTGGTCTAAGTCTTAATTTGGAAATAATCCTTCCTATCCAACAATGGCACAGAAGAGACTCCCGCAGCCTCCCTGGCTGCTTCCCGCTAGTATCTGCAAGTGAAAATCATATTTTTCTGGGGGTCAGACTTTCCACTTTACATTTCCTAATATCACTTTTTTTTTTAAAAAAATTAGACTTCCATAAAAGAACCCTGACACAGCCCGAGGCCCGGGGACAGAATACGCATACCAATAGCACTTCTCCCGATCCCTGCCCTTTGTCCCTATGTACACTCTGTTCAAAGAGTCGCCCTCAAATGCAGTTCTGAGGCTGCAACAACAAACCTTCCCTCAGAATCCTTTGGCAGAGAAGCTGAGGTAGTGCCAGGAAGAAACACGCCAAGGCCCAATTACTTCCCCCAATGGCTGAGCATCCTGCATAGAACTGCACAATGTCCCATCTCCCTCTCAGTGCAAACCGGGGCATGGTTTTTTTTCCCCCCTTGTTTTCTGCCATTTCTAGATGCTGAGATTATGTCACACACTAAACAGAGAAGGAGGGAGTAAGCATCTATCACTCACCTGGGCAAAGTGCCATAGAGAACCACTGGATGCAATTTGCTTTGATTGCTTTCTTCTGTGTGTGTGGCATTGAAAAGCTGCTGGCAGTGTTATAGTCAAGGGCACCTTGGCACTGGGCACTCAGCAGGACCTTAGGGACCATTCAGCAGCATCAGGAGGAGGCCTGCTGAGCATAACTGATTATTCAGGGCTACACACTGTACCCCAGTTTCAAATAAGCGAAAAGGAATGGCAAATGGTCGGCTTGAATTCTTAACTCCCCATGCTACCTTGAGGGAGCATCGACCACCGTGGACCTATAAAGGTAATCTGATTCAAATCCTCTTTACTGTGTCGTTTCCTTTTGGAAGAGAGGCAGGTCTGGAGATGGGAAGATGAAGCGTGAGATTATTTCCCTTCTTGTCTTCCTCCATTAGCCATCTACATATGTAAATACCTGCGATAAAAGATTAGGGCAAGCCATAAACAATGCCCAGTGAACCATCAGGAAATAAAGACATTATGTCTGGGCGAGTTCCTGACCAAAGGGACCCCAAGCTACAGAGTTCTTATAGATTTCTTATCAATCACTTAACCCCCAAACAACCCAGGCTATTGCCAAGGCTATGGGTTGCTCTCCACACACCGATAGTAAGGCTTGATGTCTGAAGACAACATCTGTACAACTCACTGAATGCAGAGAAGTCAAGCTGGTGCCTATGTAGAGCCTTCATCCCTACTGGCTCATGGCCATGGTAGTGGAGGTATTTTTCAGAGTACCAAAGGAGAAAGATAAACACCGAGCCAGCTACACACTCTTTGATCTACAATGGTGTCCTGCCTGTGAAATACACTTGTGCAATAGTTGTGCAAAGCTTGTGGGAGTCTATCCAATATCTGATTGGATTTAAGACCCACTCCGTGAGGTGAAACCCATACCTGACACTGCTTAGGTAGCCAAGAATCTGATAGACGCTATATAGGCTGAAGATATAGAAAGAAAGTAAATGCTACTCTTCTGTTAAAAACGAACTAACAAGAAAATGACTCTTAATGACACTGACATTCTGCTATACTCATAGATTAATGTCTTGCTCAGCTATCATCGGAGATGCTTCCTTCTGCAGTAGATGAGATATTTCCATCAGATCCCTCCCTGCAGGGCCCAGGGAGGGAGAAAGAATGCAAGAGCCAGAGGGGATGGACGAAATCAAGGAAAGAAGGCCTTCTAAACACAGTGCAACCAAAGCACATATGAGCTCAGAGAGACTGTGGCAGCGTGCACAGGACTTGCATTGCTCTGCACCAGATAGGGTCCCAGTGCTGAGAGGTGAAGGGGCACAAGTCCCCGTCCCTAAATCAGAATTTATTTCCAATGGATAGTCACTTGCAAATGAAAGAATATTTTTCTCCAGTGGAGTCTCACTGGGTATATAATCTACTCTTAAGGGCAGGCCCCACACATAGCAATAGATGGTCAACACAGAATGAACTCAATGACATCTTTGAAGGCTCTTGGTCTCAGAATTTCAGGACTTTTTACTTATTTTTAAATTTTACCTTACAGGTCATTTGCATATGTTTTATGCTTCCAGTTTTGTGTTTTTGTGGGATTCCTGTATCTCCGCATTTGTCTGTGTTGTTTGTTTGTTCGTTTTTAATGTGTGTGCTTTTTCTTTGTCTCTTTTTGTTCTATTTGTTTGTTTTAGCCTATTATGGTTGTTTCTTGTTTTATCTTATTTTGCTATTATTTTTTAGGTGCGTGTTTGCTTTCTAAAGAGAAGCAGAAAGAGTGTGGACACAGATGGGACGGGAGGTGGAGAGGACCTCAGAGGAGTTGGGAGGGGAAACCCTAATCAGAATATATTGTTTGAAACAAATCTATTTTCAATAAGAGAAAAAGAAAAGAACCAGGAAAGAAAAAGAGAAAAGAGATGAAGTTTAATAAGTTAAGTAAGAGATGCTGAGGTGGACCCGGAAGGCAGCGGCAGAGCCATGAATAAAAAGAGTGGTGGCGTCCCAGATGCCAGGGAAGCAGGAGTCTGTTCATAATAGGGTTGGCAGGATTGCTAAAAGACTCCACTCACAGCCTGAGAAGAAAAAGTATACAGAAATAGAAAGGGAGATCTGACTCCCCAGTACGGGGGTAAAGGGTGAGGGAGATCAGGAGCTCTGTTTGGTACATGCTAAATTTGAGGTCAATATTGTGTAAGATCCCATTGTGTATGTTTACCTGGGAGACACAGAGAGGTCAAAGCCAGAGTTAGAAATCTTGGAAACCTCAGCCTACAGGCAGTGTTTAACTACTCAGGGAGTGGATGCTAAGGACAGGGTTGTACTGAGAGAAAAAGGTCAAGTGAGACCTAGCAACATCAGCATCAAAACCTTCCTTCACGTTGCTTAGAATCCTTTCTCAGGGGAGCCATACTTTTTCCTCAGTTATACTATCCTCCTGCAATCAATTCTTGTTCCAGCGTAATATTTTCTGCTGATTCTAAATACAAACTAATCTTACTTTAGCTATATGTTTGTTAAAGAGAACTCATATTTAGCCGAGGAGCCTAGTCCACAACTTTCAGCTATGTCGTTATGGGAACATATGTTTTTAACTGCAAATAAATGTCTTTCAAATGACCTTGGACTATTAACCAATTTCAGTCTCCAAAGTGACTAATTCCAGTGCCAAATTCTTATACTTTCTATTCTTTATATGTTTTCCCAAATATTCTTCATCTTTATCATACATTTTACAATGCAGTCAGAATATCTTATTTTAATATTTACGTTTTCATTACTATATATTTTTGTTTGCCTTTTATAGTCTTTCTCTCCTGTGGCTTTTTCTTGCTGTGCCCATGGAAGTACATTAGGACTTCTGTAATTTTACTAATAAAATAATGTATATTAAAATGATACATAGTAAGTTTTACATATTGCAAAAAATATATTTACTTCCCCTAACTCTTACCTCAAATTCATGCCAGAGAAGCCTCAAATGGGAGAGTTCTGGAGATGTCGAGTTTGGCCTTCCACGTGTCTCTAGCAGCAGTGGGTATTAAAGAGGATGAGGGGCTACTGAAGTCAGAGGATTTAGGTCGAACAACAGTAAGGTCTATGTTATTATTCTTGTTTACCTTTCTGGCAGCCTCCAAAGATACTTCTCCATGTCCTCCAGCTGAACCTTGACTTCTTCGTTCATATTCATCCATATCATTTTGCTATGGCCCTCTTGCGAGCATTGTAGAGTGGGTGACTTAAGCAACAGTAGTGTATTTCTTCAAGTTCTAGAGGCTGAGGGTGAAGACCAAGATGCCTGGCTCTGTTCTTCTGGGCACTCATGGTAAGGAAATCTTTTGCCTCCTCCCCTTTTGGGATTGGGTACATAAGAACTTTGAATAATAAACTTGAGGCAGATCACAGTATCACTGGATGTCCTCCTGATCCTATCTGTTGTATCTTATCTATTTCTTTACTCAATCCACACTCCCCTCCTCTGGAACGTGTGACCCTGTTGGGCAGGACCCAACACTCAACAGTTTCAGGATCTTTCTAAGTTGTAGTGTTTATTCCATGTCTAACTTGCTTGAAAAGTGGCATGGTCCTCAGTTTCCAGGCGATGGGTTTGAAAGATTTAAGTCAAATGGCTTTGAATAAAGGGGTAGGACTGAGATTATTATTAGGAAGAAAATGAACAAGTCTGGACTCTCAAAATGCATCGTGACCGTGAGTCTGAGCCGGATGGCTATCATCTCTCTGACTATGTGCTCAGGACATAAGTTATGGATGAATTCATTCCCCAGAGAAGTCAATGAAAGCCATGAAAAGTGTGGCTTTTGGGTATCTATTTCCAGTTTGAGCAGATGCTCTGATCACATCCTTGATTTGGAGCGTGTAGGATGTACGGACTCTTATTTTAAATATGAATGGCTGACGAGACTTCACTAATTGAGGTGACTAAGACAGCATGCACGCAATCTTGTTAGTCTTGTGCTAAATAGAAGCCTATGGGCACCTCACTTTTTTTTTTTTTGGCTCTTAGTTGACACTCCCCCCTCCCATCAAAGGCTAGCAGGTGTGCTGATGGGAGAGAATACTTTTTAAAGATAAATATGATCATCAGCTGAGCAATGAACCTGACATCTGTAATCCCAATACTCATGAGACCGAGGCAAGAGGCTCACCATGAGTTTCAAGCCAACCTGGGCTACATAGTGAGTTACAGGATAGCCTGGACTACATAGTAAGACCCTGTCTGGGAAAAAAAAAAAAAAGACAAAAACTAAAACTGAAGCATGGATCTGGAAGAATTTTCATCTTTTATTTTGAGGAGAATACTTTCACCCAAGGAAAGCTGTCTGTTTCCCTTTCTTATTATCCTCATTTCTTCTCTCCTGTTCCGTCTTGATATGTGTATATAAATAATTTCTTTCGAGATGTCAAATGTCGCAAAGTGCATTTAGCCTAATCTCTGGCGTCATTGCTGCTCATCTGGTTAATGTAGATTAGTTGGGGTGCGTGTGTTCCTTTTCCGTCCAGGCCATTTCCAATCACACAGCCTATTGCACCACATGCTGCAATGGAGCCTCTGCAGCGGGAGACACAGGGGGCTCCCTCTTCATTTGCCATGGCCTTAGAGAAGAGCTGGAGTTTTATGGTTTGGGCTTGACTTGGAGTCACTGGTGAGGGCTCATCTCCATCCTAGATACCAGTTATTTTACAAAAACAACAAGCTACTGGGAGAGAATGAAACTGTTGGTAAGTGACCGGGCGAGAACATCCTGGAAAAAAGGGTAAGTATTTGCTGGAATGAAGCTTCATGTATGGTTAAATTTTGTGACTCTTTTGATCCAGAAGTATATACAATCAACAAGGTATTGTTTTAGCTGATCGTAATCAGTGAAGAATGATTACATTTTTTTTTCAAGGAGTCTAAGATGGTGACCATTCAATCTCTCATACGTATGGCCTGAGCTGCCTGTTGGTAACATCTGCTGAATACTGAAGACATATCTAAGAATTACTCATAATTTATCTTGGAGTTTAGAAACCTGGGCTGAGTTTGTTGTAGGGAACCTGGAGCAGGAAACGGCAACCATTTATTAGCTTTCATAGGTCAGGTTCTGTGCAGGGGGCTCTTTTCTCTTGCATGAGTTACCTAGGTTCATGACAATGAACTATTTCTAGGCTGAGCTAGATACTGTGTTTTATGCAGGCAAAACTGGTGATATCATATGACACACTAAACATTATTCCGAGTTTTGATGATGAAAACATACTAACCCACACTGAACATTTTTTTGTCATAATATATTTCCCTCGGCCCTACTCTTTCCAAGCTTTCCATTTCAACAAATAAAGAAATGTGTCCCAAACATCTAGAAGGGTTTATAATGAAATTAATCACTGCATCCCCAACCTCTGAGTTTCTCAACTACCGGGTATTTGCTAGAACATAACTTCTGAATTTCCAGAGAATACTTAGATACTGTCACTGACCAAGGCACCTCACCTTTGGAGCCACTGGGGAACATGGGTACTATCTCCAAGAGCAAACCTTTAGGAATAACTTCCTTTCCTCTTCAAAGTCTGAAACCACACCAAGACAGCTAGATTTCTCTAAAAAATTTGTCAAATCTGACATTGTGTTCACTGATGCTTAGTTCGTAGGCTCTTATCTGGAACAAGTTAGAAAGTTATCCCTTTAATTTTGAAAGATCTGTCCATTTAAATAATGATAATTCCAGAATAAGCATTCCACGGGACGTGTTGTCATGAAAGCCTATGGTTTAGAGCACTGGAATTGAGGGGAGGATGGAGATGGGGCATGGTGGGCTCCATGGATGGGATAATGCAATGGAGATTTGCATCCAGTTTGAGGTTATGTTAAAAACTCTCCCTGAGAAAACGCAACCGCAAACCATCATTTCTACTTTACAGATACGGAAATGGTTCTGCCCTTGGCCGACTTGCAGGAGAGCCTGGCTCTACTGTTGGGAGAGAAGATTAATGGTTAGGAAGTGGTGACACACTGCATATTTCAGTTTAGTACACGTGGGGCTCTCTTACTCCTTTAATTTCTTTCTTTCACCCATATTGCTAAACAAAAAAAAATTTGCAAAAACAAGAAGCAAGAGTAAAACTTAACTTTGGTGAAACAATTATGAAATCCTTGCTTAAGCAATCCAAATATTCAGAATAATAAGCGGCTCCCCCAATTGTTAGCTGTATCACTCTGGTACACGCAAAATGACAATTTTAATTCACAGGCTAAGCAGAATCTTTTCTCTTTTGGAAATGATAGTTTTAGGAATCTGAGGCGTCTGCTTTTGTTTCTTACTTACCCATGTCCTTGGAGTTATCTCTTCTTTTTGCTCTATAATCTCTTCTGTTTCCTTTGTTCCTGCATTTATCTCATTAACTTTCTCTTTGACCCAATTTGCTTTAATCCACCCAATTCCTTTCTCTATGTGTTTTTTATTCAATGGATGTGAGATACGTCTTAACCTATCAGGGCTTTTCCGGAAGCTTTATTGGGCTTTGCCTTGAATGGAAAGTAATAGTAACTGTTTTTGTTAAACCAAAAGAACTCCCAGGAAATACCGAAGAGATAGCACTACTTTTTAGAATTTACAAAGAACAAAAGAGCTGGGGAAATTTCTTAGTAGGCAATTATGTTTAAAAAAAATAGATTATAATGGCCATTCTTCATTTCTAAGAAGAGGCAACTTTTAAATAATTGGAGAGGCAGCGTTGCTCAGAAAAATGGAACCACTGAGCACAGACTTTAAGATATACACCAGCCTTGCTTTATGCCGCCTGCACAAGTATCTCTCTCCTCTTCTGTGAGTACAGGCTTTCTCACCCGTCAAAGGGTAGCACTAATAGCTCCCTGCCGAGTTCTGGTAAGGGTGAAATGAAACACGGACCTCAAATGTCTGTGGTTACCACTGTCCTCCAGCCTATTACAGCCACAGCAGCTCATTCAAACAGGACAGGAGACGTTGACCTCATGGAGCTTGTAATCTATCAAAAGAGACAGATTCAAACAAATAATCATACACAAAATAAACTCTAATGAAAGCAAGGATGGGAAATACACCAAATAATGCAATGTGGTAGAGGAAGTTCATTGTGCTATGAAGACAGGCAATAGGGGCCTAACTTAGTCTGCAGTTAGAGGTGGTCATGTGTGGCTTTTCTCATTCCAGCTGAGGTCTCCCGTGTGTGCCTAAGATCAACTGGATAATAGATGAGGGAAAGAGGCACATACAGAGGCAGCATCATGTCTAAAGCACCAGAGAAACAAGCCCTCAGCACATCTGATGAACTCATCAAAGTCCAGGAACACCAGAAGTTAATATACCAAGGGACGGGGAGCCTGAGGTACAGTGGCAGAGGTTGGTGGGAGTGGAACCACTCACTGTGCCGGGTACCACAATAAAGTTCTGTCTTTGTCTTTAGAGCACCTCAAAGGCTTTGGAAGAGCCGGTCGGGTTTTCCTCTTGAATCTGCTGCATTCGAGCAGACTAGGGAGAAGTGGGGTCTCTGCTGGGGGCTCCTAGAGATGTCCCAATGAAGGAGGTTGTGTCTTGAGTGATGGTGGTGGGAAGCGGTGGGCACAGTGCTGTAAGATACGCAACAGAATCGTAGGTTTTTTGAATCCCTGACTAGGTACAAGGTACAAAGATGTGGATGATCTGTGTGATTTGTAGGATTCTGTTTAGAGTAGGTTTGTGTGAAGAAGGACGCTAAAAAGAAATCTCACACTAGCTCAGAACTGAGTATAATAAAAGGTTATTTATTTAGGGGTGGACTCACAGATCACAGTCCTCTGCTGGAATGGGGAACAGCAACCGAATCCCGTGCGCTTTACATCAGCATAAATAGTATAAGAGGCCACGCCCAAGTGGGCAGGTAACTTAAAGGCTACTGGTGGTAGGAATTCCTATAGCATTTTTCTCTCACAAGAACCAGATTTGAAAGGGAAGCTTATTTGTCCTGGTTTGGACATGTGATACCAACTATTGGATAAGACGGTCTGGTGAACAGTTCAGTGCAGAGACAGAAATTGGGCAAAACAGATGAGAACTTAGATAGTGCTGGCTTTTCTATCCCTTGAGTCCAGGGAAACATAGTCCCTTCCTAGTTTTCTTCCCCGGCACTCTCTCACCTACGACACATAAATGTCTGTATAACTTTAAAATCAAATTTCCATATCAAATTTGAAAACCAGGAACATAGAGAAATGGCGATACTTAAATATAGCTAGTAATTAGTGTTTATAGCGAGGGAACTATATTTTTTTAATTGGTTGCAATTGAAGAACATATTGGTTAGATAATTATCTGGGTTCTGATTTCCACTGAAAGCATTTGCAGATTGAGTAGCAAATTCTATTCTCATACTTCATGAATTTTTAATTATGATATTTTTTTCACACTATCATCTTGCCTTGTGACAAGAGATAATAAAAAGGACAAGTAGCAGCTGGAACAACTTACTCAGTCACTCACCTGCTTGTTCATCTAGCTGAGGAAAGATAGTGCAGTGTTAACAAAGAGACTGTTGGGACTCACCTGCCTGGGCTTAGGTCCAAGTTCTGCCTCTGCAGGAACCTATGCTGAGGAAGGTTAGTTCAGCTTTCATACCTGTGTTTCTATTTTTATAAAAATGCATGTAGCAGTAATATTCATGCCGGAGGATTTCGAAAGTATCAAATGGCTTAATAGGTTAAGACACGTAGGACGCAGTCTGGCCTAAGCTAAGTGTTCTATATAATGTTAGTATATACAGCGACAAAGACACGAGCTGTGATTTGACCTTCAGGAAGTTTATTGCGAAGATTTTGGACAAGGAGATGGTTGGATGAAAGGGGGATAAACCTGATGAACACACAGGAGGGCAAGGGAACGTTTCTAGCCACGCCCTATTTTAGGCCTGACACACGAGCGCATTGCAGTATGGGAAATCTACTTGCCCGTACACTCTTGGGTAGAAGCTTATATGGTGTGACCCTGCACCATCCACCACAGGTTCACACTTCCCGGAATTCGTCCATAGCTAGCTGCCCTGTTTGGGGAGGCCATGGAACCTTGAAGATGTGGGGGTCTAGCTGGCAGGAGTCACCAGGAATGGATCTTTGAAGGTGCTTCCCATCCCCGTGCCTGCCTCAATTCACCATGCACTCTTGTAGGCATGGCTCGAGCTTCTCCAACGTGCCTTCCCTTCCACGCTTTACTGAAACCTGAAACTGCTAGCCAAATAAGCCTTCCTTCCCTCAGGTTGTTTCTATTAACTACTAAGGTTCTAGCTGGGTGATGGTGGAGCACGGCTTTAATCCCAGCAGAGGCAGAGGCAGGCGGATCTCTGGGAGTTTGAGGACAGCCTAGTACACAAAGCAAGTTCCATGACAGGCTCCAAAACTTCAGAGAAACCCTGTCTTGAAAAAACAAAACAAAAAAGTATTATGGTCACAACGACACAGCAGCAATAACTGATTTATAAAAAAAAAGACTGCGTTTGCGTATCGATCTACAATTGTCAAGGTAATTATGAGTTAAATTAGAGAATTTTTGAAATCTTTTTTTGGAGCATTTCGCTGAGGCCCCATTAAAAATGAGATATTTCCAATCTTAAAGACTATATAGTGTATTGTGACTTTTTAAATGTTTTATTATTCAATAAAGCTCGGGAGTCAAACATTAGGGAACAAAACTGATTGATCCACAAAGCGACAGAGAAGATCCCTTCCCCCTCTTTTCACCCTTCCGTTTGGAAAGACCATGAATCTTTGCAGCCCCCCCTCTTCTTCTCTGCATCCTTCTGTCTCCTCTGAGTCCACTCCATGGCCGGTCTCAGATTGAAAACACAAAAAGATCTCTCACAATAACAGTTCAGTGGATTTTTGATACAAAAATATGTAGAAATTGATGTTGGGAAGACTTGAAGGACTTCCCTAAAGACACACAACTGGCGTTACAATTTTTTTTTTGATATGACGCCAGTCTCTGAATCATGTATGGCTTTTAGTCTTTTCATCATAAATAAGTAAGCCTGGAACTAGGTACAGCCATCTGTTGCTGGCACAGACTGCCTCTGCCTGCAAAAACTGTTGGAAAGTTGCACGCCTTGGCACGAGAAACTGCAAGCACTGAGAACTTGCAGGTGAGGAATACACAGGAGTCTCCAAAGGTGGCTCCTCTGCCTGTAAAATGTAACAGCACCTGCTCCCTGTCCTTTTTTCCTTGAATCTCCTTATTCAGAGAGTTTCTCTTGGCCAGGATGCCAAGGCTGTTCCCAGGGACAGAAAGGGGGCAGGTTGGGAACTGTCTGCCCCAGGGAATAGGTGACTGAAGTCAACCTAGGGTTCGGAGCCAAAGATAACAATCCAGAGCGGAAAAAGCAAGCTCAGGTAGGAGGCCGTTGGGACAGGTCAAGGTTAGTTGTAGCCAGCTAGGCCCAGCAAAGCTGGAAATCTACTGCCCGGAGACGGAGTCAATGCCAGGGCACTGGAGGTCAGTGAATTAGAGTCAAGACGTGACCACAGGGGAATCAGAAGTAGGTGAGGGCTTGCAGGTAACACAGGGGACAGATCCCTATCAGGGAAACTTGATCCCTGGTTATGCTTTCCTGTTCCGGCTTCTGAGGTTTCCCTCAGCCAGCGCTTGGCAGGAGACACCGGAGCAGAGCAGCAGGGCTTCTGAAGACGGCACGGGAGAAAACCAGCCAGGTGTTCACTGGGCTGAAGTGAGGCAAACCAGTGGGACTGGAAGGTTAGCGTGGTGCCCAGTGAGTCAGCTGAGGGAAATCTTAGAGATGCCGACGGAACAGCCTCGGAAGTGGGGATCCAGAGATGGAGATGGACATCTTCCAAAAAATCCTGTGTCTGCTTTAAAAAGCTCATTTTCCTCAATTTCACAGACTCAAATAGCAAGTAGCTCTCACCAAGGAGAGAAGGGAAAAGCAAAGTAATGTCCTTTCCAGTGACCCAGACACATATATCACACTGTTTCAGTAAAGGGAGAGGGAGGCCCATGGCAGTCACCAGATTTGGGGAGTCGTGAAACCTACAAGACTGGGATGCTCAGTCCAAGATGCACAAGGATAGGACTTGAGGCTATGTATTCAGAAAACAATTGCTAGGGAAGAGACATATTTTATTTTTATTTTTTATTATTTTTTATGAGGTTGCTTGAAAATTGGGGAGAGAGCTCCAGAGATGTAGCTTGCATAGGTGGTCAGCCCCACGGAGGAGGGCTTTTCAGTGAGGCAGCTGCCTTGAGTCAACCATGCTCATGGGGAAGTCTAATAAACCTGCAGATTCACCAAGCTAGCCTTTGGTGCATTGGTTCTTTGGTCTGCCAATGAATGCCCTCTCTGTGGTGAATTAAAGGATACCCATCCAAAAAAAAAAAAGTCATGCAACAATGATAAAAATAAAAGCAGCTGATCTTGATTTTTGCACCTAAGAGGAGAGGAAAATAAACATTTCAATACATCAGGACAATTGTATGATGAAAAAAAATGAGGAAGGAAGAATAAATTGAATGAATATAAGAAGTTCTAATGTTGATCAGTATTTCAGAGATGCAGAATATGTTTCTCTTCCTTTCCTAGTCCAGATCAGAGTAGTAAGAGGTCAAAATGAAAATTCTGGGTTGGCGAGATTCTGAGAGCAGAGAAATAGGATTATGGAAGTGTATGTACACCAACACCCCCAAACATGAACATAATACACATATACAAGCCTCTTTCCAATCATCGTTCCCCATTAAGCACAACATATGCACACACACACACACACAAACACACACAGACTCATACATTCATGCACACACAAAATCATACCCTCTTCCACTGACAATCAGTGAATCTAGCAAACCCTCTTCTCTTGGTAGATGTGTCACTCCAACAACCAGGCACCCAAACAGCACACAAATGAAGATGTAAGAACCCTCTCCTCTTAGTAACAGAAAGTCTGCAGGATTCCTGACATCAACTAATACCTTCATCGTCTCCCTCTATATAATCCAAATGAGAAAAAACAAGGCATTATCTATTTCTTCTCAGCAGTATGTGAGAAAGAAGGTTGGTGGTGGCTGCTCTACTGTTCAAGGTAAAGAAGAATAAGTAGAGATAGTTAGAGATTCTTCACAGGGCTTCTGACATGTCCGGCCTCGGAGGAAGCAGGGATATAATAGGAATGGCAGAAATGATGGTTGCATGTGGTCAGGACTGCAGAACTCATTATTGAGAACAGCCAACATAGAATGTAGACATTGTAGATTTCATTTGAATAATGCCTTGGACAATTTCAATTCCTCTGAGTGTCCAGCAGTTTGTATATTTTTTTTCTGCACTTACTAGCAGTTTCACCATGAATGAGAAAACAGACAAAAGAGGCTTAGCAACAAGCAAAGCATGCTTCATTTTCATCCTGCCTATTCCAGTGAGATCCTGTGCCACCACAGAGGACTTGCATACTGCTCTCGGGTATCCATCTTAACGGTGCAGATCCCCAGTCCTTCTAGAATACAGATGAAGCTGCCATGTTTGCGCTGTAGGAAGTGCCTGAACACTATGGGAATCTGGAACAAGCCAACACATGTTTTATTAATTTGGCGGTTATGTACCAGATGAATTTGATCCATGTGGGGTCACCTCAGACCCCGTGGCACCAATCAGGATGTGATGGAATTGTTTATTTGGACGCCTGTACCACGGCAGTGTCATTTCCATTAAGCCCAGGCAAACTGTTTTTAGAAAAATCTCTTCTGTCCCATTTATCATTAAATATTTAAGGAAGAAGTCAATGAGCGTCTTATAGAAACCAAGAAGCTGAACTTACAGGGCAGCAACAACAAAATACAGATTCCACAGAGATGCTCTTTCAAGAGATTCAGAGTAAGACCGCAGAGAAGCATGGGAACCTGATAACGTGATCTCTCATTCTGGTGGTCCTGACATCAGCAAGGACCAGGATTGGTTAGATTTTTTTTAGCCACCTCATATGGGCATAAAAGAAAAATGAGGGCCTTTGGTTTTTTGTGTTGTAAGGAACACAAGCAGGCATTGAGAAAAGGAGGAGTCAAAATCACCAAGAGGAAGAGGTGGTATCAGGGAACTACACCAAAATCAGAGTTTTAACATTTGTGGCAGCAGCCCTTGGGCTGAAGTCCTGGTACTGAAATTTCTGGCCCATGTGACAATCCATGAACATCATCATATAGGGGTACAGGCTAAGGACCCTGGTTTGTATTGTTCATACAACAGTCAGGCCTGGGTGTTAATGCATGCCAATTTTCTTATAGATAGGAAAGAGCTACTTTGCAAAAAAAAAAAAAAAAAATCTACCAAACTTAGTTCTTTTCTATGTTTTTCATACTGAGACTTTCAGACCCGATACTGAAGAGAATTATTTCATTGGCCTGTGTGGTGACGGTCAGACAGAAGTTGGATACTAATCCCACTCTAGAGAGTTAGAATATGTGTTCAAAATCCATTTTTACCGAAACTCCAGACCATGGGGTGGGAGGGGGGAGGGGCAGGAATACAAAAGGCACTGTTAATAGTAAGCTTACCCTCAGCTCTCTACTCAATACTTGGGATAAGCCTCTGGGAATTAGAAAGAGCTCTTTTGAAAACATGTTGTCTTAGCCCAGAAGAACTCAGTCAGGTCATGTTCAAGGCTTTCCCCACAACTCAGTTCAGCTCTCAGGAGCATACTGACTAGATAGATGACCTTCTAAATTGATTCAATCCGATGATGCCGATTAGAAATGAGTGCCAGACTCCACATTTAAAAGAGTTTGGTCCCACAAAATGTCTCCTCCTCCAGATGACTGACAGGCTGGCCCTCTCATACTTGCGATTCGCGGTCTTTAAACAGGTTGTATTTTTAGTGACGTTTTATATCATTATTATGCAAGCAGGGTGTGTTTTGACTTCAGCATGATACCTTCAACCATATGGTCTTATCATTTAGTTCTGGTGGACAAATTTTGAATGGCAAGAGCTTGTGATTTGGGGGATGGTAGTTATGGGGGTCTCTTAGTTGGGGTTTCAGTTGCCACGAAAAGACACCATGATCACAGCAACTCTTATAAAGGAAAAACATTTAATTGGGGTAATTTACATTTTCAGAAGTTTAGTCCATTATCATCATGATGCGTCATGGTGGCATGCAGGCAGACATGGTGCTGGAGAAGGAGCTGAGAATCTTACATCTTGACCTGCAGCCAATAAGAAGTGGTCTGACACACTGGATATGGCTTGAACAAATAGGAGACCTCAAAATCCACCTCCACAGTGACACTCTTCCTCCAACAAGGCCACACCTAATCCAATAAGCCACACCTACTAATAGTGCCACTCTCTGGTTTTATGGGGACCAATTATATTCAAACTACCTGGACTCTTCCTGACCAGCAACGTACAAGGAAGTATCCCACTCCTGATAATGGGTTTCTTTGTTTAATGACCTATGGCTTCTAAGAGCAGCTTTGTCTAGCTATGTATAGTATTTCCCTTCAAATTCTTTTAAAAACCTATAGTTCTAATTTGTTACGAAATAGTGGTTTCCCTATGCCTTCTTCATAGCCCCTTTATTTAAGTTGTTTCTCTACCATTATGTATTTTTATGCTTTCCTGGAATATTGATGTAGAGATGCTTATATTTCCAGTTAATACCTATTTTACTTGGAATTTTTTGCATAAATACACACATATATAGTGAACACCTTGAACGCAGGAACACATATCCATCTATAACATGTTTACTATGGGAATAATAAATCACTCAGTCATTTTGTTATTGATGGACACATAGGTTATTTTCTCCTAGAAAATATAACTATTACAGAAATGCTTCTTCCGAAAGTAGACTCTCTCTCAAGGTCGAAGGAATTGATCACTAAATGACAACATCAAACAGCCTTCATATAGTTTGGACCAATTCAGACTTCGGCTAGCACCATGTACAGTTCCTTGATCCCCACACTGAACTGTTAAGGCGGCACTGGCCTGTTTAAAGTTCAGTAGAAGTATAACCTACAATGAGGACATCTTCTCCCACTGTCCAGGAGGTTCAAATTTATGACCTTTTTAGGGATTCGAGTTTTCTCTAGGAGACCATGATTAAAATGCAAAATCAGGCGACGTGGGACAGTTCATAGTCTTTTGTCTCTCTCTTTCTGTCTCTCTTGTTCTTTCTTCTTCTTATGTGTGTGTGCACGCATGTGCACGCATGCATATGTGTGTGCAGACATAGCAAGAGTAATTATAAATATGGGTATAGTAACATATGGTCCAGATGTTTTCTAGAGGAAAAAAAAACCTTCATTATATTATCTTATAAGAAAATGCCATGTAGTTTATTTATATAACTGCATCTCCAACTCTACAAAGGTCATCGGCCAGTTTATTTGTTTTGCTTTTTAAACTCAGGATGTACCATCACCGGGGTATGGTTAGTATCTAGAAAGGACAGATCAGTGTTCCAGCTCAGGCAGGCATGAGAGAAATGTCACCGCAGGAAGTGAAATCTTGAGTTCCCGGGGGGTCATCAGGCAGGCTTACAGTGGGGGGCAGGGTCCTGTCTCCGGTTGTTCTAGCACTGTTCTCAAATAGTGTAAAATAATACAGCCCACTCCCAGAATTCTGAGCTAGGGCTCCGGCTTTCTCTAAGGGTAAGCTTGTCCTCATTTGCTCTCCGTTCATCGTGTCTCTGTGTCTCCCTTTCAGGGTGAAGTGTGGGAGGCAAGAATTGGAAAGTGCACCGGTTTCCTAAGGCTGAATGGGGACTTGGGGTGTTTCTGTTTAAATCTCACTAATGTATTCCAAACAGGGAGCCTTAGGCTTTCTCCCCCACAGCCCCCCGCTCCGTGTCCTGCTTTAATTTGTGGTTATTGCCACGGCTTTGCTTGGCTTCTCTTGCTCTCCCTAGCTAAGATATCCATATTCAACAGGGAAGGACACCCAGGCAAGTCCTATGGTTGGAATGGAAGATCTTTTCAAAAAGCCTTGAGATGTGTTATTTGAAACAGACCAGAAAGCATGTGGCCAGAACATGGGAGAGATTTGCAATAGCCAGAAGAATAAGATGAGGGAGGAAAAAGAGCAATGGAGACAGGGAGAAGGGAGCCAGATGCCTCTGAGGGGCTGCCACACAAGTTGTTAATGGCTGTGGGATGGAAGGGGAAGATTGCTGGCTTCTCAGGAGTGCTTTTTTGGGCGAGTGCAATGATTCTTCTTCAGGGAACAAGAAACACAATGAAGAAACAAAGGTCCAAGTTGCTCCCCAGAGACGAGCTAAGGAAAACGGCCCACATCCTCCTCAGCAGTCATGTTTCTGAGACGTTCTGTCGCCCCTCCCCTCTTTTTTTTGTTTTGTTTTTGTTTTTGTTTTCAACCTACCTGCAATAAACTAATCCACGATGGCTTAATGTCATTACACTTCTCATTTCTGATGGTGATCCAGCTTAAAGGGGAGCAGGCACTGGGACCCTCTCCTGTTCCAATCCGTGTGAGGGATGAGGAGAAGAAAGGATTAAGGAACTGTCTTTCCTCTTTCCACCATTTTCTTTCCAGCCATTCTCCATCTTGTCATGTCTTGGCAGCCGCGCCAGCCGGTGACATTTTCTTTCTCTGCAGTGTGAAGGGACGTGGGCCACCGCACCGCTGGGTACCACGTGCGGCAGATGCAGCCGAAACTGCAAGAGAGTACCCTTCAGCCCCCAGCTCATCCCGGAATTTCATTGAGAAAAATCCTCACCGCCTCCCAGCCAGACTTTAATTTCTCCTTCATCTTGGCACTGGGTGCACAGGAAGCAGCCCAGTTGGAGCTTCCAGGAGGGCACAGGCACTTTTTAAACAGCTATCCTGAGCCCTTACCACTCTGGGAGAGCACGCCTCTCCCGGCTCAAGTTTCACTGGTCTAGCTGACCCACACTTCACCCGGCTCTCTCGAGGCCCCTAGAAGTCTTAAGCTCCACTAGGCGGCTTCCTGAGTGTCCATGTGGGCGCCTGAGGGCAAACACCTAGGTATCTGCAGAACAGCTGAATGCATCTTAGGAAGCTGATGAATTATTCAGTAGGCCAAACAGACCGGTCACAAGGGAGCCTTGCTGGGAGGCAAGTAAGTGGGACCTTAATAGTGGGACCTTAATTTGAGAGATGTTTAATAGGCTGCGACATAAAAAAAAAAAAAAAAACCCTCATGTCTTGGTGAACAGCAGTTTGGGGCAAAGCAAGAGCAGAAAATCCACTGTGTTTTGTAGCGAAGTGGCTGATGCCATGACCGGCTTCTCTTTGCCTCCACCGACTCTGCCTAACACCCTTGCAAGCTGAGTTGACTTGGAACGCAGCAACAATAAATGGCTTTTGTTAAGGATTGGTCCTGAGATAGAATGTAATAGCCACCCTTTGGACAGCTGTTACTGAGCAGTCACAATAATGTCACAGTGCAGTAAATCTCTTCCACGGGACACTGTCCTGGCCAGTTTTATTGATGGCTTTACGCTGATGGGTTCAGATGAGAAAGCAGCCACAGCTCTTGTTAGACATGTTGGAAAACCATTTGTCTGCCCGAGACTGGGAAATGAATTCCACAAAAATTGGGAGCCTTCCACCAGACTGCAATTTCTGTCTGTGGTCTGAAACGTGCTGAGATACTCCTTCGAAGGTAAAGGAAAAATGGTTGCGTGGGACAAAGAAAGACGCAGCACGGGCCTTTTGATTTCAGAGGCATTAAGGGCCTCTAAATTTGAATGTGCCATGCCATCAAAATGAGACAAAAACATATGAGATTTTTAGTAAATCCAGAGTAAAAGCTGGCTTTGCAGCAGGTCCAGGCTGTCTTTCGATCTGGAACACAGCTCAGTCAGGAAATTACTACTACACAGCATGAAGACCCAAGTTTGGATCCCTAGTCCTTAGGCAAAAGACAGGTCTTGTGGCTGTACATCTACAATCCTAGAGGTGAAAAGGTAAAGGCTAGAAGATGCTTGGGGCTAGCTGGCAAGCCAGTGCAGCCAATCAGAGAGCTCCAGGCTAAGTGAGAGACATGATCACACACACACACACACACACACACACACACACACACACACACACACACAGATACGTGAGGATGTGTGAGATAAGAGATGCCTCAGTGGTTAAGACTACTGACTGCTCTTGCAGGAGCCCCAGTTTCATTTCCATCACTCAGTGACTAACAACTGCCTCTAACGCCAGTTCCGGCAGGTCTGATGCCCTCTTCTGGTCTCTGGAGGCACTGCATGCATATGATGTGCAGACCTGACTAACGTGTAGGCAAAATACCTATACACATAAAAAAAAAATCATTCTAAAAGAATAATAAGGCGGAGAAGTAATTGAGGAATGACACCTGGTGGTAACCTCTGGCTTCCACACACATGTGTACATACATATGTACATGTAAACACACACACATACACAGCAATACTGAGTAATATCTGGAGCTCCTTAATAGGCAATCTTCTCTAAGGAGAATGTTATGAACAATACTGAAAAAAAAATCAATCACATTTTCTTCCTTCTTTTTCTTTTGTATACTATTCTTCAGATTGTATTGATTTTCATTAGCTATGGATCATATATTTTATTATTTAATCCAAGAGGCTGGAGAGAACCGGAATGAAGAAAACCTTCTATGTGTTCATCAGTCTGCTGTCTAGACTCAACTTCCAGGCAAGCGAGCAGCGAACACATGGTTCCTGCCCACAAACAACAATCCCATTTCACTTTCTTGCTCTTTAATTCCTTAAAAAACATAGGACTTGGAGCTGGATGTCATGGCGCACACCTTTAATTCTAATACTTGGGAGGCTGGGGAGGATGGAAATTTGTGAGTTCTAGTTCAGCCTGGTCTACAGGGCAAGTTCCAGGACAGTCAGAGATACATGGAGACCCCCTCTCAGTACAACAACCCAACAACAACAACAAGCCAACAACAACCACCACCACACAACAACAACACAACAGTAGCAACATAACAACAACTCAACAACAAGCTAACAACAAGTCAACAACCACCACCACCACCACCAACAAGCCAACAATAAGCCAACAGCAGCAACAACAACAATCCAACAATAACAACCACGCAACAGCAAAATCACAAATTTGGACATAGGTACCTAGAGTAATTTTCTGTATATAATGAGACTCTTGAGCATGTTCAATTTCCTGCTCAGTTTCCCTGGGTAGTTACTATAGTGATCTCTGAAGTTTTCAGTCTGTGATAGTGCACATGAGAGGTTTCCTTGCTCCCAAGAGAACAATTCAAAACTCATTTCTCTCTAGAATACTCTTCCTGCCGCTTCCTTTGATCTCTTATTAGCAGCCCCTAATACGTGTAAGCCCCTTTACATGCTTAATACTAACAAAATTATTATAATAGGTAAATTATTCCTTAGAGAAGATGAGTTCCCTATACATTACATATGTGAGGGGGGAGAAGTTGAGTGGATTATGAGATAATCTAAGACTCAAACAATGGTATTCAAATTTTTCTGTCTCATAGAAATCAATTTAAACTCTTTTTTTTTTTTTTTTTTTTTTTTGGCTTCTATCTGGTATATCTGCCTTGAGCCCTGGATCTCCTAGGTTTTTGTGAGGACTCTGATGTCTTAATCTTTTGTTCCTAAACATCCTAGGGAAATTCTTTTCTAATGAGATATAGGAGCAGTTACCAATCCTGACCTATTTGACAACCCTGGATCTGTCAATGCAGCTGAAAACAATGACTGCTCATTTATTAAAAGTAAACTGTTTTTCTCGGTCCTGCCCGTCAACGGCACGGAGAAGGTAACATGAGGGGACTTGGATATTTTCAGAGGCTGTGTGCTTCAGCCCTGTTTCCCCTGCTGCCTACAGATACTTGCCCCTCTTCTGTCATCTCCAGAGATCTCTTCTTTGAAACTCCCACCAGTGGTTTCTCGAAATGTTCCCAGGATAAGCAACCTGATCTTCACTGAGAGAACGTACAAGAAATACAAATTCGCTGGGTATACTGAGTCCACACTCCTGAGTGAGGCCGACCTAGCTTTGTTTTGAGCACTGCAGACCTGGAATCTTGTGGAGAAGACATGGAATCAACCTACATCATTGATTACCGAGCTGTTTTTTGGCACCACGTGGTATCTTCTGGTATCACGAAAGCTAGTGGTCAGGAAAGCGTCTTTCAGGTCAGTTCCAGTTCAGAGGCCTCTGTGCCCTAGAGTTAGAGATATAATAAGACAATGAATGACACAGCTTGCAAAAGAAAAATCATAGTCCTTCTGTGATAGTGTAAAAAAAAAAACCCACCAATTTCCTATCATGGTTTTGGTGGTTTGAGAGAAAATGGACCCAGAGTCCCATAGGGAGTAACACTATTAGGAGGTGTGGCCTTGTAAGAGAAGGCATGATTTGATGGAGGAAGTGCGCCTCTAGAGGGTGGGCTTTGAGGTATGAAATGCTCAAGCCAGGTGTAGCGTGACATGCAACATGTCTGCCTATTTGTCTCCATTCTTCCTGACATGACCATATTAGACTAAACCTTTGAACTATAAGACAGCCCCAATGAAATGTTCTCCTTTCCACGAGTTGCTGTGGTCATTGCTGTGGTTTCTCTTTAAAACAATAAAACCCCTAATAAAGACAATGACATTAAATACAAAGAAAGGCTAAGGAAGAAACAAATTACACATCAGACAACAAAAATGCCCATCTTCTGCCCCCGTTCAAATTATGGGTATGCTCATACCTCTCCTCTGGTGGTCTATTGGGCAAGATAGTCCTTATTATCCGTCCACAGAACCAGAAGCACTCTTACGCGTTCAAGTGATGTCTAGGAGCACCAGTTCCAACTCCTGTGACACATGAAGGAAGATCACTTATGAGAATTTTCTCTTTGGGGCTCTGCCAGCAGTGCTTTTGCTGGGTTTCTGACATTTGGATGCCCCATGAACATTAGCTAACAGGCTCATACCGTTTCAACCATTAAGCAGGTCAAGACCCATGATTCGATTATCTGGCATTGAGTGAATGTGTTCGAGGAAGACTTTAAATAGAAACTCAGCCCGGTGCTCAAGCTTGGTTCGTTCAGCCTCTTCCACCCCAACGTTCGGAGGGCCGCGCTTGCAATCATCTCTCAGGTGAGGTTGCTCCTACCGACTCACGGACTGTGTTCTGAATGGCAATGATTTGAAACAGCGATTTTTAAAAGTTCATCAGTAAGTCAAAATCATCTAAGCATTTCCTTAAAGAAAAAGATAGCAGTTCTGAAACCTAACTGGCATGCCGTATAATCCATTTAAGCTGAAGAATGTAATGGCTTTAGTGCATTCGCAAAGTTGTGCAAACAACGTAACAATTAATCTTTTGAGTCCCTGCCACAGAAATCCTGCATCACTTAGAAATGTATTTCCTTCTTCCCTCCAAACTCCCTTCTGTTTTTTGTTTGCTTTTTGTTTTTCACCCCACGAGTTTAGACAACCCCAATATACATTTTGCTTCTGTAGACTTGCCTAATCGGGCAGCTCAGCTAAATTAAATCACGCAGTACTTAGTATTATTTTGTGACCCTTTTTCCTACTTAGATGATGTCTTCCAAGTGCATCCATCTTGTATCCCATACCAGCGGTATGTTACTTTTCACTGTGCTCAGCACTCATCCTTTGACATAGCTCTTCTACTGCGTGTGATAATATCACTGTGTCTTACCTTTCCGTTGCTGCGATAAAACGCCCCAATAAAAGTACCTGCAGGGAGAAAAGGATTATTTGGCTCATAATTTCCAGCTACAGCCCATCTTGAGGGAAGGTCATAGTAGCAGGACATTTTCTGTTCTGGCTACCTGTTCCCAAATAATCACTCTGAGGCTTATGCTAATTATGAATGCTCGGCTAATAGCTCAGACTTATTACTAAAGTAGCTCTTACATTTTAAGGTAACCCATAGTCCTTATTTAAGCTCTGTCACGTGGCGATATCTTTATTGGCGTGGCATGTTCATCTTCTGCTCCCTCTGCATCTGGATGGAGACTCCTGACTCCACCCGCCTCCTCTCACATCAACCTTAGTTTGGTTCCCCTGTCTATGCTTCCTGCCTGGCTACTGGACAATCAGAGTTTTATTAAATCAGTTTGAGTGACACATCTGTACAGTGTACAAGAGAATTATTCCACAGCAAGCAGGGGTGTGAGGAAGCTCACCAGTCAGGATGCAAAGACCATGAAAGTAAGAGGAGGGGGGAGAACATGGGAGGGGTTTGGGAGAAAAAGAGGGAAAGGGGGAAGTGATATATTTTAATTATAAAAATAAAGATAAGAAAAAAAATAAAGATAAGATTTTTTAAAAGATGGGTTTTCTGCATCAATTGAGGAAATGCAGAGACTCCCTGATGCCTAACAGTTCATGTCCCAGGTGACTCTGGTTCCCAGGCTCTGCCTAGGTGATAAGCACAGTCGTCACACACTGAAACTTGACTGTTTTCTTCTAGTTACTAATGGGTAGCTTTTAGAAAATAATTGCTCCTATATCGCTGTCTCAGTCCTATTGGAATCAGAATCTCTGAGGATTTGGAGAGGAAACTGACAACTTTATTAAAATTGATAATTTTACTAAACTTTTCAGGTGGTTTTGATAATCCGTCATCAGAAATGCTTCATATTCCAGAAATTACCTCAAATGACTACCCTTAAGCAGAAACAATCTCCATGTCACAAATTTCAAATTTTAGAATTCTTTACAGAGGGTGACTAGATAAAGCATATTTCTTTTTTCTCAGATGACTGGATGAAACACATATTTCTTTAAGAATATACAGATTGATGGGGGTGTAGATATTCTGAATGAAAACAGCTCTTCCGGCCACACTGACAATTGTTGTCCTGGGAACAGATTGTCAAGCTGTGTGTATTCTGAGAGGAAATTTGATTTAAGAATCTTCTTTGAGCGTGATCACCCGATTTTCTGGTTTATCTATTCCGACAGCTAGACTTCAGCTATGCCTGAGGCCTCCAGACTCTAAAAGCATCTAGTTGGGCAGGCACTTAAAAATTACGTGATATCCAAGAAACTTGTGATTTATTGGATGTGCTCAGTGAGTTAGAAAATGAGAATGTTTGTCTTGAAACTCATTTATCTTGGCTACTAGCCACGTTTCTGTCTCTGTCTCTGTCTTTGCCTCTGTCTCTCTCTTTCTCATTTCACCTGGTAAAACATGAGGCAATTGCAGAAAAAATACTGACTTTGGTAATTGTTTTTGTTCTATTAATTATTAGCCCATTACTAGGGGCTACCACTAAGATAGGCACAGGCCTGTGCACACATGTTTAGGAGAGTAATAGCTTGTTTAGTGCTCACAACTGAGGAGCAGACTATGTTAAAGGATCAAGGAGCTGTCGGCAAGAGAGAATTCAGAAAACCGTGGATCTGGATTCTGAGCTTCTCAAGGCACTGGTAAAAAATACCAGTGGTAGAGCAATAAATGGCAACCAGCCAAGATGCAATAAATCCTGTGGCATTAGGAGGGGGGCCAACTTGTGTTAATCCCACCAGGCGAGAATAAGACCACCGCCACAATTTAAAGCTAAATTTGATGTGAGATTTAATTAAATACTGGCCAGGTGGAAGAGCTCTAGCTAAGTCCATACCGTATGGTTTCTAGGAAAATAGCCTCAGGTCATGGTTTGCACCGTTGTCAGTATTTTCCATCAGGTCCAATCATGTGCAAGCATACATCCTGATGCACCTCCAGCCTACTACATCCAATCCCGGACAAGTGTACATCCTGATGTATTTCCTGCCTGTGAACCTCCCACCCACATGTGATCAAGCACACCCGGTGCAGACAGGTCAAACAAACTTGTTTAGGGGAGTGAAAGTAGACGGCTATTTATCTCCCATAAACAACAGCCTCCAGCATTTCAGGTACTATCTGTCCTAGGGCAAGGATCTTGCAGAGCAGAGGCATTCTTATTTCAAGGATCTCTAAGATGTAGACATTAAAACTTAAACTGCAACTTGGGTCTCACGCGTGAGGGGATTAGACAAGAGTACCAGACCTTTAGTGTGAGTCTCCAGCAGGTGGATGGCCGAGACTGCTTATTCTCAAATGCCGTTGAGGGGAGGGCTTTTTGAGGACGCTACCAGGTCTCCTTTAACTTCTTTGCTTTCAGACCTGGCTCAGTCTTACTGAACTGCTAGCATGCAGTTTTGTGGGAGATCTTGTTGTTTTAAAACTGCTGAAATGCTAGGGAATTTGGGGGGCATGGATGGGGGCGCCTTGTCAGTTAGTTAGGCAAGTACCCCAACTCTCAGACAGTCCCGTCCTAAGGAGGAAGGCAGGCTGGGTTCTTCCCAGACAGAAACAGCTAAGAGCTGAGAGAAAAGCTGTGGCCTGCTAGTTCTGTTTGCGCTCAGGCAGGCAGTGCCGGAGCCTTGTTTCTAAGGAACTTTTAAGGCATTTCAGGAGGCTTGTGATTCACAAATGGACTTCTGTTAGCAGTGTGATTGTCATCCGGGAAGCAGAAACTTCTCTTTCTGCAGGCGGCCTACAGGTCTCCTCACAGCCTGCTCCAGCGATTCCGAGAGGGAGTTATTTATGCTGCTGGGGATAGGTGCACATTTGCGAACTCTCCCGCAGCCCCTCCCTTTCCTTTAGGAAGAACACTTTATCTTTTCCGGTCCTTAATGTCTCCATGAACCAAAGCGGGTGGAAAGCAATGTGTCGTGGAAGAAGTTTTCCAAACTTCAAAGGCCAGGTGCCCTCGAGCACAGAAGGAACCGCCTGCCATCCAAATGGTCCCCAGCATTCCCTGCTCCAGCTGGTCTCCCCTCAACAGGCCGATCCTAGCTGCTCGGGGTGTTCTGAGGGCATTTGGGAGCAACAACAGATGCCTTAACAGAAGTGTTGCTTCCCGTTTGGAGGAAGAATAAGGGAACAGCGTGGGCTGTTGGACTTGTGTGTTTGGTGATGGAGGTTTACTGGAAATTCTGCCAAACCCTTTCTTCCTCAGGCTCTCATTTACCCCGGGATGGACCAGCTTTCGAGCCTGGCCTTGCAAATCAAGTTTTGACAACAACCACCCATCCTGCTGAAAATCTGCTTTTCTGTTTTGAATTATAATTCTCTTGAGCCTTTTGACTATGACCAGAGATACCATGAAATCAGAATCGGTAACTATTGGGGAGAAAGAGGGCACCATTTAGATATAATATATATATAACTATAAGTAATCAGTATGTATATACATAAATACCTATGGTATATAAAGTACACATGTTCTATAGATAAGCAGGTTTTCATGCACTATATATAAATGTAATATTTATTGTCTATATTAGTTGTTGGAAAGCTATGGTATTATATATATATTATATAAATGTGTATAACTATGTTCTGCAGTCTTTTGTATCTTCTTGTACTTCCCCCTTTTCCTCCTTCTGTTTCTCAGGCAGATCTGCTGAGATTAAACGGGAATTCCCAGACCTTCCTTCTGACAGGATGAGGAGGCCAGATGACTGAGCTCTGGCTATTCTCATGACTGCAGAGCAGAGACATGAGACCTCCAGGAAGCTTCCTTGCTGGAGAAACACTGCAGACTCTTGTCTCAGGCTCTTCCGGAATGGTGGGCTTGCCGCCCACAAGACTGAGGAAGGCAGCTTGGGCTTGGCCCGAGTTCAGGGACATCTTCCCCTGGATATCTAGGGGAGTTCACTGCCTCCAGCTGTGTTGAGTTCCCTTCATCCACAGTCACGCAGGGGTGGAGGTGGGGATGCTGTCTTTTACACCTAATTCACTTCCACGGAGTAGGGACTAGCTTTCCTTGTATTTTGAAAGTAGACTTTTACAGTTCATAGTGAGACTGGAGGGGGACAAGGAAGGCATCTTCAGATTAAAAAAAAAAAAAGGCCAGGGAAGTTATTGGTAGGTGAAGAAAAGGGAATAGCAATGATTCTAGCTAAATGCAGCATTTGGGTAGTATGTGCAGATTATAAAACGTTACACACATAACAGGTGAGGGTTCCCTGCACTTCAAATCTGACTCTCATCACAGATTCACTGTGTAGGAGCAGCAGAGACAGTGACCTGTCAAAACTTAAGCGTAGTCCACGTTTGGTATTTCCATTAAGTGTTTTCTACCCCCGGGTCACTAAGGATGTAAGATCTGGACAGTTCTCCCTCACAATGAATGTTTTCCCTACAGCTGTTTACATCCTTCCAGGGTGCTGGCTTGTCACCCCTGGTGATGGAAGAGTCGGGGAAAGGCCATTAACTGTGTGAGTGGAACACCACAGTTGGTCCCTGATGTGCTGAGTTTTCAGATGTAAAGCTCAGTTTTCTGGGAGGTTTGGTAGGAAGTTCTGGGAAATAATTACGGGATGAAAGGAGCTAGAAACAATGACTGTTGCAAACAAGAGGGCAGTGTAAACAAGTCTCGCATGTGCTTCCATTTCCGTCATAAATACATCTTTTCCTCTTAGGGTTTCACTGGGTACCATCTACAGCATCCTTGGTAGTGTACCTCAAACACCTGGTCTTTCTGTTACCCGTTTAAGAGACAGACTCCTGTTACTGATTGCTGGAAGGACAAGCAGAAAAAGTTTGAGCTTGTCTTAGGACAAGAATTCAGCAGTTAATGGCAGGCTTTTTCAAAGCCAGGGATGGGTTCTTCTGTTTTTCCTATCTGTTGGGTATCCTCCTGCTCATGTCTTGTATCAACATATTAGCTGTATGTGTTGCTATGTTACAATTCCTCACAGAGCAAATGGAAGCCATTAGAAATAGCTTCCCCAGCCCTCGTATCAAACACGGCAACCTGCCTCCCCTTGTGCCCACACGTCCTCCTTTCCAATTGTTAGAGTAAAACAGTCGTTCGCAAAGGGTTTTTCCCTATAGTGCTCACTAGAACTAGCTGGATTATGATGACCTTTTGACTAGGGAGGGAGGGTTATGATGAAAAGGCTAGACCTTTTGACTAGGGAGGGAGGGAGGGTTATGATGAAAAGGCTAGACCATTTGACTAGGGAGGGAGGGAGGGTTATGATGAAAAGGCTAGACCATTTGACTAGGGAGGGAGGAGGGCCTGGGAATCTGACTTTACTGAGCCTGTGCTGGATCTCATGCACACTGGTACTAAAGGACTAACAGCTGAATTCACTGATCATACCTTGTCTATAGGAGCCAGAGGAAGGATTGATTCCATATCATTTAGACCAAGACTCCCAGAGCTGTGCCCCTGGCTGAGCCAATTACTCTGTCTGTGCTTCCATTTCTTTACTTGTAAAGCAACAATGATAACATTATTATGTATTCCAGATGCTTACAAGAAAAATTAAATATGAAATATGTGTTAAGCATACACACATATAATATAATGATCATATAGCCAACAAAAGTGTACGGGCTATTATTAATACTAAAAATCCTTTCTATTATCAATACTAAATTTTTCTGTAAGTGCATGGAAGACTGTTCAATTTAGGCTTTTTTCAACATAACATTTGTATTGATTCTCTGGGAATTTCACATCCTACACCCTGAGCACACTCACTTCTCAGATCTTTCATGTCTGTGCTCCTGCCCTGCCCCACAAAAGATTTAAAAAATAGTCAAATTTGTGTTATTTATTTACTCACTGGAGCATGGCCAAACTCAGTGGCCTGCCCCTTAAAGAGAACCGAGTCCTTCCTTTGCTGCACTTCTGACAGAAGCCATCCATTGTGGAGAGCTATTCCTTAGCTTCTCCATCCCATGTTTTAAGAGTTCCCTTGGGTGGTTTCCTGTCTAGGCTGTTGCCTTTTTGGGTGTGTTGGGGGAAGGTAGTGGTTGTCACGGAATCCTTCCATGTCCCTTCCTTTCAACTGTGCATCTGCCGTCATTGATATCACAGCAAAAGTCGCCTCCTTGCTCTTCACAGTCAGCGGGAACATGGATCATAGGCCTCCGCGTGGTTTTTGGTGACAGCACAGACCATGAACACAGCCTTTGGTTGCAGTAGGATCATGGGCCCAGGCAAGACCCTCAGAGACATCCCAGACCATAGACATCAACATGACCTTGTGCGGGCCACACACATCAGTATGGCCCCTGGTGTCAGCTCGGCCTATGGACATCAATGTGGCTTCTGGCTGCAGCACAGAGCTCGAGCATCTGAATGGCCCTCCGTGGTAACCTTTGCCATGGACATCAACCTGGCCTCTGACCCCAAGACCACTGACCCCTACTTGGCCTCCAGTGGCAGCATGGACTTCAGCATCATTATGTTCCCAGGCAACTGCATGGACCACTCTCTCCAATGTGACTCCCCGCGGCCATTTTTGACCACAAGCAGGGCATGTTTGGGGGCTGAGTCTGCATCTGTTTAATCTCCAGGCTGCTTGCTGATCACTGCCCTGCTGACCCTACCGGGCAACAAGACCTTCTACTGTTGACCTCAGCCGTTTCTCACTCTACCACGGCTGTCGGGCGAGTCTCCAGTTCTGCGTACCCTTACACCATGCATACTGCTCTGTTTTTTTTTTTTCTTATAGGTATATAACTTTATATATTATATGTATTTACAATATGTACATTATACAGACTTTTAAAGGCAGTAGTAAGAACAAGTTTGCAAAGAGATGTTTCCAAAACAGAGGATTACTATTTATCCAGGTGGGTTTCTGTTTTACTTAGAACTCCGTTGTAGACAACACTTTGGGCCCAGGTTTATAGCCAAGCCAAAGAGCATAGAGACAGATGAACTAGCTGAATTTGGAGAGGCTTTTGAAAGATGAATGGCGGTTCCAGTTTCCGAGGCCAAGAGGGAAAGATAGCGTGCCGTGGGAATGTAATTCATTGGCACCTGGGAGCACAGCTGGCTCCACTTACTGTGTGGGAACGCCGAAGCGTTTGCTTCTGGTCCTGCCTCAGCTCGGTGACTGCTTTGTGGGCTGCAGAGATGATGTCTTAGTGTTGCTGGCTGGCAGCACTCGCTTCCGCTTGGGTTTTTAATCCCCCCCCCCCCCCCCGTCTCCATATTTTTTCAACATAGGGCCACCTGGTGAGGTAGGGCATGGCCTGGCTGGCTCTGCTCAACTTATTTTTAAGACTCCTATTTATGTGACTCCTCCATAGGCATTTATCTCTTCTGAGACTATAAGGATGTCCCATTTCCCTTTTGTTATTTTCTTCAAAAAGCGCTGTTCTCCCCCCAACACAGGGCTTTCGTCGAAGGTGCAATGCTGCTAAATTGTCAGCTTCAAAAACGTATATACGTACAAATAACTTTATACAGACCGAGCAGGTTATATTTAGGAATATGTATGTATATATGTATCCTATATGTGTGTAACAATAATTAACAAGAAAGAGGCCATGAACTTGAAGGAGAGCAAGGAAAGTTACATGGGAGAGTTTGGAGGGAGGGGAGGGAAAGGAGAAACGTTGTAATCATATTATAATCTTAAAAATAAAAGAAAAAAAAGATAAGTGCTGTTCTCAGTACCACCTCAGAAAGGGCCTCGAGGCCTACCAATAGTCTGCTTGGTCCTGAGAAGCACCAATCAGCATTCGGACGTCACATTTATCCAATCACACGATAAAAACTTGTCACCTCCGGCAGCTGGGTCCTGTTCATTTTTATTTGTAATTCTCTTCTCTTTGTGCGGTGTAGTGTTTGTGCTTGTTAGTGGGAGGATGTGCACTGTGAGCGTGTGCACACGTGCTCTGGTGTGCGCATGGAGGTGGAGGCTAGAGATGAACGCTGTGTGTCTTTCCTCGACTGTTTTCCACAAGCATTAATTGAGTTATTTTGAGACAGGGTCTCAGAAAGCTCATCAGTGCTGGTGAGGTGACTCAGTGGGTAAAGGCGCATTGTAGAAGGTACCTCCATCCTGTAGAATGCAAATGTGAATGCGTGCACATGTACACACACATACACAAAAATAATAAATGTAAAAATCTTTTTAAAAAAAAAGCTTAAAGCTTTAAAGATAGCTGGTCAATGAGCTACAGGGATCCACCTGTTTCCAATTCTCTAACACAGGTGCCATACTATGCTTTTCCCGTGGGTTTTGGAGATCTGAACTCAGCTTCTCAAACTCGCCTGGCAGGCAGTTTATCAACCACATCGTGTCTCTACCCTATTCCTCTTTAAATGCCTCGCTAACATTTAGCACTGCTTAGCACATGAGTC